TCTCCAGCCATGCTGAGGCCGCGTCCCACATACAGCAACTAGAAGGATGTGCAACTATGACATACAACTATCTACTGGGGCTTTGGGGAAAAAAAAAAAGAAGGAAGATTGGCAATAGATGTTAGCTCAGAGCCGGTCTTCCTCAGCAAAAAGAGGAGGATTAACAGGATGTTAGCTGGATCAGGGCTGATCTTCCTCACACACAAAAAAATACTATCACCATTTCTATTCATGATGTTGGCAAGAATTAAAAAAAAAAGGCAAACAGTGACTGCTGGTAAGGTATGGGAAAACAAACGCACCTCTATATACTAGTGGTATGTTTATCTTTTTGAAGTCAGTTTGGCCAAACGTATGTCCTGCCTAGGCTTAAATCATGTAGTGGGCACATCAAATCAACTTAATATTTAAGAGATGGTAAAAGGGTGCTGAGAAATTAATCCTAACTTTTAAAAAACCTGGATCTAGTAACTGCCATGTACTATGGCATTCCTTTGTCTTTTATTAACTGTATCTTGAATGTTTACTTTGAGCAAGGTACTGTACTAATAAGCATTTTTCAATAAATTATTTTATCATTAAAACAACTTTTTGAGGTGGGTATTTTTATCCCCATTTTGTAGATGTGGAAACTGAGGCCAGAGAGGTTAAATAAGCTCATTTAGCCAGTGAGTGAAAGAGACTAAATTTAGCTCTAAAACTATCGCCTTAATCACTGTCTGGTTAGATAGTTAATAATTAATTGATTTGTGATACCTAGCATGCCATAAATCTTACCTTTATTAAAATGATTTCATTTTCTAGGTTAACATTTTACAACATATGCTTAATTTCTTTATTGGAATATTAACATAAATGTAATGCTTTGTTTCTCCATTGGAATGTCAGCCTGATAAAAGTGAACCCCTCGTTAATGGGAACTCTTTTACTTTTTTTCCAGAGGATCTGAAGAGGCAAAATGCAGTGTTACAAGCTGCACAAGATGATTTGGGACACCTTCGGACACAGCTGTGGGAGGCCCAAGCAGAGATGGAGAATATTAAGGCTATTGCCACAGTCTCTGAGAATACCAAGCAAGAAGCTATAGATGAAGTGAAAAGACAGTGGAGAGAAGAAGTTGCTTCACTTCAGGCTGTTATGAAAGGTAAAGACAAAGAAAGTTGGATCTGTTTTATGATTTTCTAAGATAAATGATTCTGATGATTGAGAACATTTTAAGAGGGTCTTAAAATATATCCTGAGTTTCATTTGTGGCTTCATATATTACCATCTTCAAGATGTACTGTCATCTTCAACATAAAAGAGAAGCCAGTGATATTGTAAGTGGATATTATCATCTGTATCTTTAACAAATTTAGTAACGGAGAATTATAGTGAGGTTACAGAGATATTGCATTAAATGAGAACTATAGTTCATCATAAGGTTTAAAGCAGGGCTTCAAAATAGATTTTCTTATAGGAGTCAGGCAAGTAATGTCAATGAGTAAAGTTTTATGGGCACAGAGAGTATGCAGAACTGGAGAGACCTCCCATGCAAAGAGTAAAGTTACTATTTATGTTTATTAGTTTCAGCTAATTATTGCCCGTCCAGTCCAGTGTTGCCATATCTTTTTCATTTTTAAGAAAAATTTGAGGGCCGGCGCCGTGGCTTAGCGGTTAAGTGCACGCGCTCCACTGCTGGCAGCCCGGGTTCGGATCCCGGGTTCGCACCGACGCACCACTTCTCTGGCCATGCTGAGGCCGCGTCCCACATACAGCAACTAGAAGAATGTGCAACTATGACATACAACTATCTACTGGGGCTTTGGGGGGAAGAAAAAAAAAAAAGAAAAATTTGAATTTTTGTGTGAAATCTTCATTGCAATCTGTGAGGTAGGATGGCCTATGGGATAGAGTAGACTTTATGGGCTGCCAACTTGTGACCCTTGGTCTGAAGGAAGAGTAGTAGTTTAGTCTCTATCTGCTGTTGGCACTAGTGCTTTATTGCTTCGTGCATTTCTGAGAAGATAAAAATCAAATAAAGTAAGTTGCTTCCTAAATCTTTGGGTTCCTGGAATTAGTTTAGTTAATATTATAAATCTTGTAAAAATAAATAGTGATGACTTTTTTCCCCCCATCTTCACAATTGTGTCATTTTTAACTTAGTGTTTTTTGTAAGAAGGCCAGTTAGACTAGCCCTGTTTCTGAGTTTGTAGCTATCACCTAGGGATTACTCTAAGCCTCATGTAACAATCGACTATAGTGGCTTACCCAAATAGGAGTTCATTTTTCTCCCAGAAGAAGAAATCCAGAGGTAGGTAATCTAGGGCAGGTTACAGTGGTTGCATCATGTCCTCAGTGTCCTAGGCTCCTTCAGACCTTCTGTTCCTTCATCCTTAGTATGTGCTTTCAACTTCATTTTGCCTCATGGCCGAAAAATGGCTGCTCTTCCTTCAGTCTGCCTCAGAAAAGCAAAAATTTGCTAGAAATCTCCAGCATATACCCTCCTCCCACTTTATTGAGGGGTGTGTTTACCCATAACTACACAGGACAACTGGAAAATCCAGTTTTTAAATTGGATCATTGACTTCCTAAACAAAATTGGGGTTTTGTTAATAAGGAAGAAGAAGGAGTGGAAATTAATGGGTAACTAACAGTGTTTATCACATAATGTTTTAAGATTATATTGAAGATAAAGCCATTTTACAAAGACTTTATAGAATCTGTCTCAATTTAGAACCTTGGGTTGTAGTAAAATATTCCAGAAACATATCCCTTTTCTCACACTTGCAGGTATTTGGATTGGGATGACATGTTATGTTTGTCCTAGGAGCCACAGCGTAGTATCTAAGGAGTTGGCCTTAAGTTTGAATTCTAGCTCTACTTCTTTCTGGTTATGAAACATTGGCCAGAGTATTTAATCTTTCCTATGCTTTCCTCATCTGTAAAATAATATATGATACAGGTTTATTGTGAAGATTACAGATGATGATTTAAAGGCCTTAGCAAAATTTTCATGCATAATAAGAACTAGAAATGTTAGTTTAGTTTTTTTTTAGTGAATTAAAAGATTTCCAGAAATTAGGCATAAGCTCTTTACATAACTACTTTTTAAATTTTAGTGTGCCGGAACATTTTTTTTCAGAATGCTTAGACATGAAATATTTGGTGATGTTTTGTAGAAACAGTTCGTGACTATGAACACCAGTTCCACCATAGGCTGGAGCAGGAGCGAACACAGTGGGCACAGTATCGAGAATCCGCAGAGAGGGAAATAGCTGATTTAAGGAGAAGGCTGTCTGAAGGCCAAGAGGAGGAAAATTTAGAAAATGAAATGAAAAAGGTATGAAGGAATATATTCATCTGGAGACATATTTGAATCCAAATGCAAGATGTTTTAATATTATTGTGGTAATAGAAGTTGTACATAATTTAATGTTTTCTGTCGGAGAAATTATTTGGACACAGACCTAAATATAGTACTAGATACTTTGATGCCCTTCCCCCAGCCATTTGTATGGCTAACTCCCTCACCTTTTTTACCTCATGAGGCCTATCCTGACACACACACACCCCACCCCCGCCCCTGCCATTTAGCATTGCAACCTGCCCACCACCCTCCCTCATCTACCACAAGTCTGCTGATGGACCTTATCCTATTCTAATTTTTCCTTTTCCATAGCACATATTTCCTTATAGTATAGAGTTCATCTGTTTATTATGTTGTTTGCTACCTTTCTCTCCTTGCTAGAATGTAAGCTCCATGAGGGCAGGAGTCTTGTTTATTTGTGTATCCTAAATGACTAGAATAGTGTTTAGCACATAGGTGCTCAGTAAATATTTATTGAATGAGTGTTGTTGCTTGGTGATTGTGTCTAAACCAAAGCTTTAGAACAGACGTTAGGGCCGGCCCCGTGGCTTAGTGGTTAAGTGAGCGCGCTCCACTGCTGGCGACCCGGGTTCGGATCCCGGGCTCGCACCGACGCGCTGCTTCTCCGGCCATGCTGAGGCCGCGTCCCACATACAGCAACTAGAAGGATGTGCAGCTATGACACACAACTATCTACTGGGGCTTTGGGGGGAAAAATAAATAAATAAAATCTTAAAAAAAAAAAAAAAAAAAAAATGAACAGACGTTAGTTTTCCTTCTTTCTCAATATACTTTGGTTCCTCTGTGATGAATGTACTGCGTATTATGCTTGAACATATTACCATAAGATGCCTGAACGTAGAGCAACTAAATATAAGGTGAAACATTGTATCATTGAGAAAATTTTAAAAGCTTTTTGGCCAGTTTTATTATGTAAACTTTTACTTTATTAATTTATATACATACATATATTTTAAATCACATACATATATTTTAAATCACATATTATAAAAAATAATTAGAATTTGATTTTTCTTTTCAATCAGATTAATCATAATCTTTCCTTCCTAATCCTTGTCCATACAAGGACTAGTTTTATGTATTTAGAAGGTTAATTAGTTTTTCAATAATGAAAAAATCGTCTGAGAACCCGATACCAAAAACAAAGAGCTTGAACCTTGAGTGATAGTTTTTTTCCACTCTCATTTCAGAAAAGGATTGTAATGCAGCCTCATCATGAGGATCTGACAATGTCTTTGTCATTGCGAGAGTCACTTAGTCATCTAACATAGTTATCCAAACTAGACAGCCTTCACTTCTCTCAAGTTGCTTGAGATGAATTCATATTTGATGCTGTCATTGGAAATTTTATTCCAAGCCACAAATACATATTCACATGAGGATAATTTTTTTCGTTCTTCTAATATATTCATATTCATGATTTCCACAGTCTGCCACTTTTTGTTGTTTTTAAAATTTATTTATTTAATTTTATTAATTTTATTTTTTTTGTGAGGAAGATCAGCCCTGAGCTAACATCTGTCACCCATCATCCTCTTCTTTTTTTTTTTTTACCAAGGGAGATTGGCCCTGGGCTAACATCCGTGCCCATCTTCCTCTACTTTATATGGGATGCCACCACAGCATGGCTTGACAAACGGTGCGACAGTGCGCGCCCGGGATCCGAACCTGCGAACCCCAGGCCGCCAAAGTGGAGCCTGCGCACTTAACTGCTATGCCACTGGGCCGGCCCCTTTAAAATTTATTTTTTAAAATAAATTTTATTTTTTAGAGCAGTGTCTGATTTACAGAAAAATTGTGAAGATAGTACAGAGTTCTCATACACTCCAAACCCAGTTTCCCCCTCTTATTAACATTTTACGTTGGTATGGTACATTTATCACAATTAAAAAACCAATATTGATTCATTATTATTAATTGAAATCCATTCTTTGTATTCAGATTTCATTAGTTTTTTCCTAATGTCCTTTTTTTCTGTTCCAGGATCCCATCCAGGATACCACATTACATTTAGTCATGTATCTTTTCGCTCCGCTTAACTGTGACAATTTCTCAGAGTTTCATTATTTTTAGTAACCTTTCTCTCATTTAAAAAAGAATCATCTTTAAAAGTTTTGTTTATAATGATATGTAACACTTGGAATTGTGAGGTCATCTTTGCATTAATAAATAACTCAATCTGTATTAAATTCTTTGCTTTTTCCCTCCTTTTTTTTCCTGCTGATTTTTATCAGCTGACCTCTGTAAGCATCCCAAATTAGCCTTGACTGAAGTTATTTTAAGCTCACATGTCTTTTCTAAACAGGACTTAGTTCAAAATAAAATGAATGATGAAATGACTTTGTAAGGACAGGAAAACAAAGTATACCTCTCTTTTCTGAGAGAGATGTTTTTTAGGGAAAATTTCCACTTACGTTTGGGCATATGTGATATTTTCCCTATCATGAGCAATTTAGGATAAGCTTGAGCTCATTTAAATTCGATGAATAAGGTGAATTTTCATTTTCGCTAGAAGGAGAAAAGCTAGACTTTTTGAGTCTGCCTTTGTTTTAGTATATATATATATATATATATATACAAAGTATATATGTATAATATATAATATATAATGAAAATTATATATGTAATTATATATGTAATATATATAATTATTTAATGAAAGTTCATTTATAATGAAAATTAAGTTTCTCACCAGTTTACTAGTATGGATATTCTTTCCTTTTAATCCATGTTTTTGAGACTGAAGGATGGAAAACAATATAGGGGTCATTCTTTGAGTTTGTTTCATTTAAATATCAAAAGTAAAATAATATTTAAAGTACTCTGTTTAAATAACTGGATGGATGGAAGCCTTTTTATAGCAACATAATTTTCTAATATTTTAGAAAATATATTGTTCTATTTTCTAATGCTTAAAAATAATCAATCTTTTCAGTATTCATAAGAAATTATGGTTTCATTAATTTAGTGACCAGAATTATAAAAAAGTATTTATTATGTGTATTTCCTTTTATATATAGAATATTTTCCAACTCAATTATTTAAAAAGTCAAATCTATCCTAGTGAATCCATTTTCCTACATACTCCCAAATTCTAAGTGGAATATTTGGGAAAACTATGATTATGACTTGATATTCAAAGTAATGCAACATTTAAAAGTTAGAGGTGGTTCAGTTGTGTGAGTGCTAATGCAGTGCCTGGTAGACTTGTTATACTAATTTTAACAAGTGAGTGGGTCAGAGTTTCTTAGAAAAGCAATAAATCAATAAGTTGTAGCATTTAATTCTTTTTAACCATAGGCCCAAGAGGACGCTGAAAAACTTCGGTCTGTTGTGATGCCCATGGAGAAGGAAATTGCAGCTTTGAAAGATAAACTGACAGAGGCTGAAGACAAGATTAAAGAGCTGGAAGCCTCAAAGGTGGTGAAACACTGTAATCTATTTGCTTGAAAACCAAGATTCTGCCCTAATGCGATGAGCAAAATTAGAATCACTAAGGGGGTAAAAACTGTAATTTAGACTATGCGTCTTAAGAATATTGCTTTCTTTAAAATGCAAAAAAATGCTTAGAGAGGATTTTGCCCCTATGGATATTTTAAATAATCACAGCAGTGATGCTTGTGCTGCTTTGTTACAAAGTTAGTGTTCATTTTCTTATCAGAGTGAGACCTGATCTGATTCATTTTCTTATCAAGGAAAATAAGCTGTTCAAAGATGACTTTGTTTTCTGAAGCCAGCCCCAGAATTGATCTTTTAGAGATGATGCAGCTACAGTATGGCTGGATTTGTTGGCCATAAAGACACAACAGAAGAAATACAAAAGGAACGTCAAAATTGTTAATAATTAATTAAAAGAAAGTAGGAAAGAAAGAAAAAAAATAAAAGATAGTAAACAAAAGCACAACAGAGGAATGTAGAAATGGGAAATGTATCAATAATCCTTGTAAATGTAAACTGATAATCACCTACTAAGAGAGATCAGACTAATCAAAGGAAAGTTGATATAGCAGTTGTAATGTGAAACAGGATGTAAGGGAAAAAAGAATTAAAAGAGATAAAGAGGGGGCTGGCCCCGTGGCTTAGCGGTTAAGTGCGTGCGCTCCACTGCTGACCGCCTGGGTTCGGATCCCGGGTGCGCACCGACGCACCACTTCTCCGGCCATGCTGAGGCCGCGTCCCACATACAGCAACTAGAAGGATGTGCAACTATGACGTACAACAATCTATTGGGGTTTTGGAGGGAAAAAAATAAATAAATAAAATCTTTAAAAGAGATAAAGAGGGACTCCATCTAATAAATAATCCATCAGAAAGACATGACAGTCATGAACTTGAATGCACTTTATATACCCTTGAAATATGTGAACTAAAAAGTGACACTTACAAGGGGAAATAGACATTCGCATTATAGTAGGAGATTTCAACTGACCTTTAGCAAATGATACTGCAAGCATAAAAAAATATTGGTAGGGATATAGAAGTTTTGAGCAACCTGGTTAATAATTTAGACATAATAGACACACAGAACCCTATACCCAAGAAAAAGAGACTATATTTTATACTGTAGTGGAGCATAGTAGTTAAGGGCTTAGCGTTTATTAGCTGGGTGACCTTGGGAAAATTACTTAATCTTACTGTGCTTTGGTTTTCTCATCTATAAAATGGGGATAATAACACTACCTTCTTCATAAGACTATTACAAGAATCATGTAAGTTAACAATAAAGCACTTAGGATAGTGCATGGAATAAAGTATTGTTATTTTTAGGTATATTGTACTTCTCATGAGGTCACAAAGAAAGTCAACAAATTTCCAAGAATTGATGTTATACAGACCCAAGTTTTTGACCACAGGTTATTAAATTATTTACTATAAAATGATAGTTAAAATGTCTGGAATTGAAAGCAATGAACTCATGGAAAAAGGAACTGTAAAATATTTAGAGTGATTTAATATTTTACTCAAGAATCTAAAAGCAGAACAATAGTACAAACAATATGAATGGAAGGAAATAATACAGGTAAGCAGAAATTAGTGAAATAGAAAAGCAAAAGGAAAGTTGAGAATGTCAACATGATGGAAAAAATGGAAAAACTAATAAGATAGGTGAAACTCTAATAAGACTAATCAGGAAAAAAGAAAAAAGACTCAAACTGTTAGAAATGAAAGAGTGGACATAACTGCAAATCAGTAGAGATTTAAAAATAATAAATACTATGAACAATGTCACACTAATAGATTTTTTTTTTTTTTTTTAGGAAAATTGGCCCTGAGCTAACATCTGTTGCCAATCTTCTTCCTTTTTTCCTTTTTTTCTCGCCAAAGCCCCAGTAGATAGTTGAATGTTTTTATAGTTGTAGGTCCTTCTAGTTCTTCTATGTGGGATGCCACCTCAGCATGGCTTGATGAGCAATGAGTAGGTTTGTGCCCAGGATCCGAACTGGTGAACCCCAGGCCGCCAAAGCAGAACACGTGAACTTAACCGCTACGCTACCAGGCCAGCCCCCCAATAGATTTGAAATGAAATAAATTTGATGAGATGAAAAAATTTCTAATAAAAGATAATTAGCCAAAGTTGTCTCAAGATAAAATAGGAAAGCTAAAGTAGTAACTATTTAAAAAAGTGAATTTATAGTCAAAATTCTGTCTCCTCTCCTCTGAAAGACATTGGACTTGGTTTCACAGGCAATTTTTTCTAAACCTCCTGGAAAGAGAGAATCCTTATATTTTACAAACTGTATTAGAGAATAGAAAAATAGGAAAAGTTCTCCAGCTCATTTTATGAGACTTATATAACTTCATTACAAACACACACACAGAAAGGTAGTATAAGAAAAAAAATTATATAGATCTATCTTATTTAGGAATATAGAAACAAAAATTTTCAACAGTGTAGTTTGTAAAGGAAAAAGAAAAAAAGACATCATGACCAAATAGGGTATATTCCCAGGAATTTAAAGATGGTATATCGCCAGAAAACCATTGTTATATACCACATAAAAAGATTGCAGAAGAGCAATATATGCGTCTTAGATTCAGAATGGCATTTGATAAATTTAAACACCCAATAACTGAATAAAGGGCTATTTATCAAACCTTCAGCAAGCATCATAATTAATGATGAATATTTCACAGCCTTACTATTAATAACAGGAACAATATGAGGATACCCACGTTCAGTGATTTTGTTCAGATTGTTTTTGTGGCCCTAGACAATGCAGCGAGACAAGATAAAGAAATGAGGGGTAAGAACTGGAAGGAAAGTGATGAAATTGATTTGCTTGTCTATATAGAAAAGCAAGAGAATGTTCAGATTATTAGACCTAATAAGAGTTCAAGAAGTTGAGATCAACATACAAAACTAATAGTGTTTTTATACCCCAGTAATATCCAATTAAAGAATGTAATGGGGAAAAAAAGATCCCATTCACAATAGCAAAAAAAAAAAAACCAACTATATAAGTTACCTGAAAATATATCTAAACAAAAATAGGCAAGATCTTTATGAAATACGTTAAAAATGAAGATCTGAATGCATGTGTGTTCCTGAATGAAAAGATAGTGTATTATAAAGCAGGCAGTATGTCCCCAAATTAGTCTATAAATTTAAAATTCCACTCAAAATCCAACAGGGTGTTTAATAAGGAACTTGATACGTAGATCCTGGAATTCATACAGACAAACAAAGGATCAGAAATATACCTAGCAAAATTTTGAAGGAAGGCCAGGTGAGGAGACTCGCCCTACCTATCAGATGTTAAGACTTAGAATAAAGCTGCTGTAATTAAGATTGTTATTGGTTTAGGGATAAACAAGTGGACTAGTGAAAAAGAATAGAGAGCCCAGAAGTAGACCCATATGTATATAGAAATTTGATAAATGACGAGTGGCATTACAAATCTGTGGGAAAAGAATGGATTGTTAAAAAATAGGCTTTTCAAATAATTAGTTATAAATATGGAATAAAGTGAAATCAGCTTTCTACTTCACAATTTACAAAAATTAATTTCAATTAATTAAAAACCTAAGAGTGAAAGTAAATCTTTAAAACTTTTAGATATTTAAAAAGGAGAATATATTATTTGGAGTACAAAAACATTTCTTAAATAAGACAAAAATATTCACTGTGAAAGAAAAGGCTGAAAAATTTGCTTACATTAGAGTATAAAACTTGGTTATTAAAAGATAACACAAAAAGTGAAAAGAGAAGCTGTAGACTGTTAGAACATATCCATATTTCATATACCTGACAAAAAATTCATATCCAGAATTAATAAAAATTGCCAAGTCATTAAGTGCCAAATGGCCCAGTAGAGAAATAAGTAAAGAATATGAACAAGCGATTCACAAAAGAGGTAACCAGAATAGTTAAGGAATGTGAAAAGATATTCAGCTTCACTAGAAATTAGGGAAATATAAGTGAAAATGGGATACCATTTTACCCTAATGGGATTTAAGTCTTACAGTACAAGTGTGTTGCGTTCACCCACTATTGGAGCCTGCAGAACTCTTCCCTGTCTCAGCCGCCGTTGTCGAGTTGGAGCTCCAGTTGACTATTTTGGAGTTCTCGGGGCCCTTGTTGCTTCCTTTTACTTTCTCCTGCATAGGTGCTGATACCATATAACTCCATATAGGTAGATTTCTGTAGTTTGGCCTCACCCTCTATTTATCACTTCTGTTTTTTTGTAGGTGTCCATGTGTTTCTGGTTTTGTTATTTTAGTAGTTCTGTTGTTAGGGCATATGGAATTCAAGGAAATTCACATACTGCCATCATCTTCCCAGAGTTCTGCTCAATAGCTTTCAAATGTTAGAAATTCATTAATTATTAGTTGAGTCAAATATTTATTCTAAGAAGTAATAGCTGATAGAATTAGCGTTTATATACTGCCATTTGATATCTGCCATATTGACTGTCTTTTACCGTCAACTGAATTACCACCCTCTCCAGGTGATAGGGAAAATGCCTCACAACAGTCAGCACTCTGTCATGCTTCGTTAGTATCTTTTTGGTTGGCTGACACCCTGTAGTGAAGCATCAAATTAGCAGCTTAAATAATCATTTTAGTCTCTGACTCGTACTACTGTATTATACTAATGGTCTAGGAGTAAAGATAATTGAAAACAGATCACCCATCTATTTCATGTTTGAAGAACTGAGAAGATAAAAGACATGAAAATGACCTTGAAAGTGAAATTAGATACAACCATTTGAAAAGCTGAAAGTTAGCTAAATGGCCAAAATTTAGGAAGGACAATTTGTAAGACAGGGTAAAAAAAGTGATTCTGTAATCACCTTTTGGGACAAGATTGCATTTTATTTTGGTTATAACTATTTCAGATATTAGACTATATTGTTAATATTTGAATATTATAATTGTTCAACAGAAATAAAGCAGTGTTTTAAAAGACCTGATTTTAAAAAGTATTCTGCACTTGCCTTAAAGTTTGTCTTCATTACAGTATGAGACCAATTATTTTTTCCATCATGACTTCCTCCTTTTTCATTCCATGAGTCTATGTCTGTGAAAATGTCTCTTTTTTATAAATATAAGGCATTTGGAATTACCTCACTAGAAATCAAAGAAACGCAATCTTACAAGAGTATGGTATCATTTTTATCTTTAGAAAGTAACTACTGTTTAAAAAAACCATTACCGCCACGTGGTGTTACAGTATATGATAAAATGAGCACATGTATGTGTTGCTCTGGGAATACAAATTGGAACTACCTTTGTGAAAAGCAAGGTACAAAACTGTTATGTGTAATCTCAATTGTATATTTACTCTGGTGATACGATTATAGATGATGCCTACTATTAATTATGTTATTTCTCCAGTTTTCCGTAGTAAGTATGTATTTGTTTTGTAATTAAAAATTGTAAATGTTAATTTTTTTGTGAATTTAAATTTATGTAAATATAAATTTTTTTCAAGGCACATCCAGAACTTACCATTTTACCTAAGATAGAAACTATTGTGAATTTCAGTTTAATAGAATTGCATCTTGTTTCAGGTTAAAGAACTGAATCATTATCTGGAAGCTGAGAAATCTTGTAGGACTGATCTAGAGATGTATGTAGCTGTTTTGAATACTCAGAAATCCGTTTTACAGGAAGATGCTGAGAAACTGCGGAAAGAATTGCATGAAGGTAAATATATTTTTAGTCTCAATCTCTAAGAGAACTATGTAAGTAAAATTGATACTGATTAATAACAATAACAAATCCTAAAATACCAGTCCAACATGTTAGTGATTCAGTTTAAGCTTTGCAGTTGGTTTGAATGTTCTCATGGAAAGCTGGAGATGTGAGGTCTACTAAAGATATTTGGATTGTTACTGGTTTCTCTTTCCTCTAGGACCCCAATAATAACAAGGCATGAGCTCTGGGCAGAAAGATAATAGGGCTGGGAACTTCTGCTTAAACTGCTTTTGCCTCCAGACCCATTTTGATGGAGGTGGATTAGCAAAGGTGAAAATGGGGCAGACAGGGCAGATAGTGTGTTCTGCTGTCTTTAAGGAACATCCCTGTTTATAAGGGACGATTTTGATTTCACTAGCCTGGTCACAGAGTGAGGCAGAAATTGACTCTCTTTTCCCAGGGTAGAGGAAGAAGGCTCATCCTTTCTCCATTAAAAGAAAAATATACTTTTGTCTTTAATTCTTTTAGTGATTCCCATATACCTGGAATTCTTAACCTTTATGTGTCATGGACTTCTTTGGCAGTCTTGTGACGCCCACTCAGAATAATATTTTTAATCCATAAAATACATAATATTACAAAAGAAACCAATTATATTATAAAAGAGTTATCAAATATAAATAACTGCAAACTTATGATATAGTAATAAATGTGCTATTTTATTTTATTTTTTTATTATTTATTTATTTATTTGTTTGTTTGTTTGTGAGGAAGATCAGCCCTGAGCTAACATCCATGCCAATCCTCCTCCTCTTGCTGAGGGAGACCGGCCCTGAACTAACATCTATTGCCAATCCTCCTCCTTTTTTTCCCCTTTTCTCCCCAAAGCCCCAGTAGATAGTTGTATGTCATAGTTGCACATCCTTCTAGTTGCTGTATGTGGGATGCCGCCTCAGCATGGCCGGACAAGCAGTGCGTCAGTGCGTGCCCGGGATCCGAACCCCGGCGGCTAGTAGCAGAGCATGCGCCCTTAACTGCTAAGCCACGGAGCCAGCCCATGTGCTATTTTATTAACACGTTAAATAACAAGGTCTATTAGCAGTAACTATTGTAATTTTGATGTAGCGATGTGCATAAGCGACATATTAACATATCTGCAACAGCTGTACTGGGATATGAAAATATCTATGACTTCTGTTGGTGACCAAGTCTTAGGGAGTGTTATACTTACTGTGGTTTGTTGCATACGTTTTGTAATTGAAAAAAACAATAAATTTCGGTTAGAGGTTAGTGAAAATAAAGATCTAATTGTTTTTCCTCATCCAAATGCATGGACTCCTTGAAATTTTATACTTGTTGTGGGTTATACTAGTGACATATTTTAATGAGGTTTAGGACTATGGTGATAGAGTGCTACAATGAATACTTTCAAGTGTATCAAATGCTGTGGAAAATATAGCTCTTTCATAAATAATTTAGGTTTGCATATTTTTTTTCCCGAATAGTGGAAAGCTGAAATTTTATAAGCCTACAGAATTATTTCATAAAACATTATGAAAATAACTCAAAGTTTGAGCAAGTCTTAGGCTTTCAGGAAACACTTTTCAAATGTGCTGTTATAATCAAAAAAGATAGCCAAACTCTGAAAGGGTATCCAAAAGAAATAGGAATTTCTGTTTAAACTATGTGCCCCAGCCCTTCCAGAAATAGTATAAGACTACCAAACCTTCCTAATATATCTGGAAAAGTATCTGAGAAGGTTCATTAAAATGATAAGGGGATAGAGTAATTTCCATACTGAAACACTCACACCAAAAAAATAGTATTTAAGTGAAAAGAAGACAGATAAAAATTGAGCAGGAGTGTCACTTACAGCCTAAATTGGGAGAATTAGATATGCAACCAAGTTAAGGAGAGTTGTATGTCATAGGTGCTAGGCTTGGAAGTATGTTTATGAGAGTTTATGTTAATATATTCACTAAGTTGTGCACCATCACCACTGTCTAATTCCATAACATTTTTATTACTCTAAAAAGAAATTCTGTACCCATTACCAGTGGTTCCCTATTCTTTCCTTCTCCTGAGCCCCTGGGAACCACTGATCTACTTTCTGTCTCTATAGATTTGCTTATTCTGGACTTCCGTATAAATGGGATTATACAATTTGTGGCCTTTTGTGTCTGGCTTCTCTGAAGGGCATTCAACTTGAGAGTGATAATATTAATTATGCACTTTAGAATGTTCAGTTTAACAGCAGTGTGGAGGATAGAGTAGAGAAGGCAAGACTAATGGCAGGAAGAATAAAAAAGGGACTACCGTTGTAGTTGTCTAAGTGATAGGGCTGATCTAAGACAGAAGATGGTGAGGTCATACTGCACAGGAGGTAGAGTCAGTAGGCTCTGTCACAGTTGAATGTGTTGGGGTGAGGAAAAGTCAGAAGTGTGAGTTTTCTCTCTCAGGTTTCTGGCTCGGGTTGCTGGGTAGATGAGCAGATAGATGATGCTACCTATTTTTTTGGCAGAAGATGGCTGATCTGATGAATATCAACAATACAAGCATTTACAAAGATTCTTTTCTTTTTTTTTTTTTGTGAGGACGATCAGCCCTGAGCTAACATCTGTGCTAATCCTCCTCTTTTTGCTGAGGAAGACCGGCTCTGAGCTAACATCTCTTGCCAATCCTCCTCCTTTTTTTTCCCCCAAAGCCCCAGTAGATAGTTGTATGTCATAGTTGCACATCCTTCTAGTTGCTGTATGTGGGACACGGCCTCAACATGGCCGGAGAAGCAGTGCGTAGGTGCGCACCCGGGATCCGAACCCGGGCCGCCAGTAGCGGAGCGCACGCACTTAACTGGCAAGCCACGGGGCCGACCCCCCAAAGATTCTTTGACTTATCCTGAGAGGTCAAAACTAAGTGGGCCTAAGAAGGATTCCTGGATAACAGATTTCTCAGAATGTATTAAAGACAATTAGGAGTGGTTACTGTACCTTTGGCCTTTAGAGCAACACTTTCCAAAGTATATTCCCTAGAACACTTGTGAGTGGCCCTGTGGAAAGGATTTTTTGGCCAAATAAAATTTGGGAAATACTGTATCATATATCATCTTCCAAGAGAACATATGTGTCCTTAAGACCCTGAGCCCAAAGTCCTGCAGTAAAGAAATCTTTAAAAGTTTATTTAACCCGGAGTTTCTAAAACTAACTGAACACAGAAATCTTTTTTTCACATGTTCCTGTTCCTAGGAGCATACTCTGGGAGACTCTGCTTAGAGAGATGGTGTGGGGACAGCTGCCATGTCCTATGACAGGTTGCCCCTTGGTTCTTGTCAGAGGCAGAATCCCAGACAGAATGGATCATTGGCCAGACCTGGTCTAGTAGTCCTGTGTTAAAGAAATTACCTACCATTAAAATTCAGTGTTTTTGATTGGGGGGGTTCCTAAACAGTTTGCCATCTCTTGGAGCAAGAGCGACAACAACACAACCAGTTAAAACACACATGGCAGAAGGCCAATGACCAGTTTCTGGAATCTCAGCGTTTGCTGATGAGGGACATGCAGCGAATGGAGATTGTGCTAACTTCAGAACAGCTCCGACAAGTTGAAGAACTGAAGAAGAAAGATCAGGTGAATAGCAGTTTTGTAGGACTTGCTTGCTTTATTAATAATACACCACCCTTCCCTGCCCCCCAACATGTGATTGCATTACTTTATGTATATTAGAGATTGACTTAAGCCTGAAACAAGGTGATGTGTGCCATTTCAAAAAACATAGTAGCTGAATTTGAGGGATTTTGTTTTTCAGCTTTAGAAATGGCCTTATCTTGGGTAAAAAAACTGATTTAGAAATGATCCTCTTCAGAGAATCAATAGTACGTATTTTTGAGAAAATCTTTCTCTACAGTTCTGTCCAATTCTCCTAGGGCTCCTGAATTGTGTTAATCCAGGCCAAGTCTTCCATGACGTTGCTCTAAAAGCCTTAGAGTGGGGATGGAGAGGCTGAGCGATATGAAAGGCAGGTGTCCACCGTGCTGCATACCCAAGATCCTGTTTTCTCCTTATGTTTTTTAAAAAATTATTTAAATTACGAGTAGTACACAGATACATCCTCATGTTAAAAATATTTTGTTTTAAATACAAAATGAAATAATAAATGTAAGTGAAAATCTCCCTTGGCATCTCCCATACCTCTCTTCGCAGAAGTAACCACTTATTGTAATCAGAAGTACTTAGTTTGGAAGATAGTCTTCCAGACCATTTCTATGTGTTTATAGGTGTATGTTTAGTTTTTTTTCTATACAACTGCTATCATAGTATAAGTATTTATTCTATAGCTTATTTTTCTCATAAGCATTATCTTGGATATATTTTCACATCAGAGACCTATCACATTCTTATTAACTGGTAGCGTGGTTGTGCTATAATTGACTTAGTCTTTCTCCTTATAGTGGGCATCTAGATGGTTTCCTTTTTTTTTTGGTCATTTCAAGCAGTGTTGCAGCTAATATCCTATACTACTTATGTTTGTGTGCCAATATTTCCTTAGGATAGCTATGTAGAAGCTTTTCTAGGTATTATAAGAAATATTTTAAATGACCTGGTATGACTTAGGTTTTATTTCTCAGAAGTTTCTTCCCTTTTAAATTTCTTTTCTGTCTCTTAATTCTAACTCATTCACCTTGTGTGTAGACACAGTCAACTTAAAGATTGAGATTCTAAAGTACAGATCTATTCATGCCCCTCCTGCTGCCCATTGAAACAGTCTAAACTCCTAAACTGGTCGTTTAAGGCCTTTATTAATATTTACCAAGCGTTTACTGTGTGCCAGCATTGTGTTAAGGCTTTATATAGAAAGCATTATCTCATGTAGTTCTCAAAACAAACAAACAAAACAGCAAAACTCTCCAAACGAGGTGGGGACTAATGGCAGATCTGAGGTTTGAGCCAATCTGATTCCAGAGTCTAAGCACTTAGTCCCCACCCCTTCCCATATCCCTCACTTCTCATGTACCTGCCCTCTTTTCAGTCACGTCAGATCATTCAGTATTCCCCCACATGCCTGCTCTTCTGTGCCCCTGTACCTTTGTACATGTTTCCTTTCTCCCTGGAACCCTTGCTTGTCCCTCATGCAATTGGCAAACTCAGCCCTTCAAGATCCAGCTGAAGTGTTAACCTTCTCTGGGCCCCCTTTTCAGATGAAGTCAGTCATTGTGAGAAAACATATAGTATTGTAATCGTTTGTGTTTGTCCCTTCCCACTAGACTGTTTTGGGGAGTGTCGAAGGTATCTTATTCATCTTTTGTTGAGTGAATTATCACATCGCCTTCAATCTTTTGTTTGTATTTCATATAAATTTTTACATGTTTCTAATGGATATGTAATGTCATAACCTTTTCCTATTTGTTTTCTACAATAATCTGAAGGAATATTCTACATACATTTTCTTTCTTGGATCATTTGAAGAAGAGGGGGTGGTTTGCTTTCTTGTGTTTTGCCTTTCACATTGTATATTTCTCTTGGCCGCTCTTTCCTGGTTTCTCCTTTATACGGGAGTTCATACTTGTGCCTAGAGTATTAAAACATTTTGTTATGATTAGATGTCCTTATATGGGATTACAAAACAAATAAACTTGTGTCCAGTTTTCTGTTATCATAAAGCTTTGTTCTTTTTTATTTGTTTTGAGTGGTTAACAAACTATATGAATCATCGAGTATAGATTACCTGGGTAACATATATATTTTTTTCTTTCTAACTTTTAGGAGGAAGATGAACAACAAAGACTTAATAAGAGAAAGGATCGCAAAAAAACAGATGTTGAAGAAGAAGTAAAAATACCTGTAGTGTGTGCTTTAACTCATGAAGAATGTTCAGCCCAGTTATCAAATGAAGAGGTATAGTGAATCTGTAATTAAAATCATCAAATACATGATGTTACCATTTTTAGCTTCTCATACATCAGTCAGTTACATTGTTCATATGGGAATTGCATAGCTACTAGCTGAAAAGTAGATAAAATCATAATATTTATTTTCAGTTGTTTTTATGGTATTGTAGGTAGTACTATTTGAAACATGTAACAGTTTCTCTCAGAGTCTCTGAAATAATTAGATATTCTTTTTTCCAGTGATTCCAAAATTAAAACATTAGAAAAAGCTTTAGTATTTACAAAATCTTTTTTGATATGAATAATAAATGTTGCTGGGCTGGCCCCGTGGCTCTGCCGTTAAGTGCGTGCGCTCTGCTGCTGGCAGCCCGGGTTCAGATCCCGGGCGCACACCGACGCACTGCTTGTCTGGCCATGCTGAGGCCGCGTCCCACATACAGCAACTAGAAGGATGTGCAGCTATGACATACAACTATCTACTGGGGCTTTGGTGGAAAAATAAATAAAATTATTAAAAAAAAAAATGTTGCTAATACTTTGAGCTTTTTGTTTAAAAGAGATTATCTAAAGTATTGAAACACTTAACTCCTATAACTTATATGTGAGTAATAACTAGTGTTAAAGTTTAAGCCTTGAGTGGGTGAGATTTGGCAGATTGTGATGGTCTAGGGTAGAACATTTCAGGTATTGGGAATGGGTAGAGAGACCTGCAGGTGGAAAGTATAAGGTGATGTTCCCATGGCCTCATCACCTCTCATCTGCAATGTGGCAGCCTCCTCGTTAGGTTTCCTGTCCTCAGCTGTCCCACTCCACTGTACCCTCAGCATTACTGTCAGATTCATTTTTCTTAAGTGCAGCTGCAGTCAGGTCATTCCTTGACTCAAAAACCAAAAACACTGACTCCCGTTACCTAAATAATTAAGTACAAATTCCTCCCTCAGACAATCGAGGCCCTTCATAATATGTACTCTGTTTTAGTCACATTGGTTGTCTTGTTGTGCTGCACTCCCTACCTTACATGTTGGTTCCTTCACCTGGAATGCTTACCTCCCTTTGTGTTTCTAAGTATTGAAATCCTTCTGTTCATCCTTCAGGACTCATGTTGATAGCTCCTCTTCAATGAAGGAAATGCTTCTCTTACTGCCTTTAGGATAAAAACTAAAAAAGGTCCCTAGCTTGGCATACCAGGGCCTTCACAGTTGAATGACCCTTCCAACTTTGCCATGCTCTCCACTTCCTTGTGGCCAGACCTTTCTACTTACTCATGTGCCTTGTTTATTGTGCCTGCTGATTAGAATTTCATACTCATCCCCCAGCCCTACCTCCTCTCCCAGCCTGGTGAACCAGTTTCAGTTCAATTGGATGAGGATCTTTTCTCTCTTTCAAAGGCATCATGTTTCTGTTTAGTTTGTGGATTTACTGTGTCATGTATAATCTGCTTCCTGGTGGCTTATATTTTCACGTTTATGGATTGTTTGACGTTAAAAAGACGTTTTAGAAAATCCGAAGTATGATGTAGTTGTTTTTCTACATTCTTTCTTTTGGATTGTACACTGAGGACCACTTGGCCTGACTCTGCTGTGCATTTTTTTAATAGTTCGGCTCCCAGGAGACCTTGTCTCAATTTTTGGGTACTGCCAAATATTATGTGGTTTCTGTGTCATGTAGTCCTGTGTCCAGAAATGTTTGAAAATGTTTCAGACTTTTCAAAAAATATTTTAGCAGGAAAACAGGAAAGGGAGATTAGTTGTGATTTACAATGAAGCCGTTTTCTTATTTTTGATTCTCTCTTGACAGATTTATATAATGTGCATGACGTTATTTCCTGACATTTGAAATATCTTTTAGACTCTCAGATCTGATATTTTGAAGTTTGAATATTGAGTATCCTTATTTTGTGTTGAGAGTCATGACAGTGTACTTTAGCTTGTTGGTTTAAAGTTAATATGGAGTACTTTAGAGACTTAGGTTTATTGCTAAAAACATTTAAAATTTGTAAGACCTTGTATCTTCTCTAACCTAATGCTTAGAATATGCTTTTCTCACTAGAAAGGTAATATATGTTTATTATGGAAAATATGGAAAGTACAGGAAGGTCATACAAAATAAAAATAACTGGTAGGTAATTCTGCTAACCACCACTAACATTTTGGTATGTACTTCTCCTTTCCCTTTTTCTTTTTTTGTTTCCAAAGTTAACATCTATGTGTTTGTATTTGCACTTCTTAAATATAATCTGGATTGTTACACTACATAATGTTTTATGTACATTTTTTCCCTATTTAAATCTATCTTTAAATGCTTTGGCACATCAGTAAATGTTTTCCCCCAAAATGATATTTAATGGCTGATAGTATTTCAGAATGTAAATGTACCATGATTCTTTAATCCCCCACTAATTGATTTATGCCTAGATTTTAATTTATAAAGGTGGCTAAGTGATGACACAGAGAGGTCAATCCCATTGAAAGAAAAGTTTAATGTTATCACAGTCCCCCTAGAAATGAGAGTCACAGTACACCATGCAGAGCCACAAGGAGAAGCAACAGAGTTGGTCATGAGGCAGAGCAAGAGCAAGGGAAAGGCTTGGACCACAGCCATTATTAGGGTTTTTGAGGGAAAGGCAAGGCAGAGCAGGGTAAACAGCATAGGATTGGCTGGTTTGAGTAATTCCAGTGGGCTTTGGGACAGGGGAAGTACTGGCTTGGTGTGTAAGAGTTAGATAAAGGAGTTGATTGGGGGTATGGTCTCAGGATTGGTTGATTTGTATATGAAAGGCATGTTCATAAACAAGTTGTTTATTATTGCTAGGAATCAGCTAGCTTGGGAGGAGTAGTCTCTCCCTGGCCAACAAGGCCCCCAAAATGTCAAAAACATCATAAAATATATAGAAAATAAAAACCATGATTAACATACTAATAGTTAAGTTGGTTCCATTTTTTTTTTTACTAGTATAAAATTTTTTATTGTTATAAGTAATGCCATAATGCTCCTGTATATAATTCTTCCTTGTACAAAAGTCATTATGGATTTACCTGATTACTTTCTTAGTATAAATTCTTGGGAAAAGAACTGCTGAGTTTAAGGGCATAAACATTTTTAAGGTATTAGAACGTATTGTTGAATCATCTTTCAGAAACACCATAACAGTTTACACTTCCCCTAGATGTATATGTTTCTTATGCTGTTACCAGCATGGTAGTCCACTGTTTTTAAAATGGCCACCACAACATTTTTGCCCCTGTTAGCTTCCCTCTTTGGTGTCACAGCAGCATTGTATATGACAGCATTAGATGTTAGACTCCTTTGTAAGCTAACAGAATCGGTTCTCTTTCCAGTTTTTACTAGGATACTTATTTGGGACCTTTGCCATAGCTAGCTTAATATATACTAGATTTGTGTTCCTCAGCCATCTGAATTTCACAGATGAAAAAATCTTTAAAAAGAGGGAAATGGAGGAACTAACATAAAAGTTGTCAACTTTTTATTATGCCAAGTAAGAATATTTTTTAAACATTAAAAAAAAATCTGTATTCCAGGCTTTTCCAGTTCATAAAAGGAAGGAATTTTAACAACAAAAAGTAGAAAGGATATTATCTTAAAATAAAGGCTAGTCCTTTAAGTTGAATAAGTTTAATTTCAAGAAAAACTTCCTGCTTTTTCCTTGTTTTCTAATTTTCCTGCCGCTGTACAACTGTGTCATGGAATGGTGCTATGCTTTTTGACTTTGAAAATGTCCTGCACCACATTATTTTTAAATTGGGGTGAAATTCGCATAACAAAATTATCCATTCAAAGTGAGCGATTCAGTGGTATTTAGTACATTTATACTGTTATGCAACCATCACCTCTGTCTAGTTTCAAAACATTTTCCTGGGGCCGGCCCGGTGGTACAAGTGGTTAAGGATGTGCGCTCCGCTGCAGCAGCCCAGGGTTTGCAGGTTCGGATCCTGGGTGTGCACCGACACACTGCTTGGCAAGCCATGCTGTGGCGGTGTCCCATATAAAGTGGAGGAGGATGGGCATGGATGTTAGCCCAGGGCCGGTCTTCCTCAGCAAAAAAAAAAAAGAGGAGGATTGGCAGATGTTAGCACAGGGGTGATCTCCTCACAAAAAAAAAAAACACAAAAAAACCATTTTCCTTATCTTTTTTTGTGTGTGTGGAGGAAGACCAGCCCTGAGCTATCATCTGTCAGCAATGGTCCTCTTTTTGCTGAGGAAGACTGGCCCTGGGCTAGCATCCATGCCCATCTTCCTCCACTTCATATGGTACGCCGCCACAGCATGGCTTGACAAGTGGTGCGTTGGTGTGCACCTGGGATCTGAACCCTGGGCCACTGCAGCGGAACGTGTGCACTTAACCACTATGCCACCAGGCTGGCCCCTCAAAACATTTTCATCAACCCCAAAGGAGACTCCCTATCCATTTAAGGAGTCACTCCCTATTCTCCTTTCCCCTCCCCCTCTGGCAACCACTTTTTTTTTTTTTTTCTGTTTTTGTCTCTATGGATTTACCTTTCTGGACATTTCATATAGATGGGATCATACAATATGTGACCTTTTGCTTCTGGCTTCTCTCACTTAGTGCACCACATTTAATGTGTTCATTACACCTTGCTTGAGACTTGGTTTCCAGCATACCACATTATACTTGTTTCCCTTCTGCTACCCTGGCTACTCCTTCCTCTGTCCTTCCCCAAAATGTTGGTGTTTCTCAGAGTTTTCTGCTCTTGGCCTTCTTCTCTTCCTACAGTCTCATCCTAGGTGTTTTGATTTGCTGCTGTGACTTTCATTACCATTATACAGTGGTTATTGCCAAGTCTCTAAAGACTTACATGTCCCTCTGTCGGGTGGACATCTCTACTAGGATGTACAATAGGCACCTCACATTCAGCATACCAGCTACTGAATTTCAGGAGACATTCCCTCACTCCTTAAGTCTGGGCTAAATTCCTCTTCTTGGGCTACCAGAGCGTTCAGTACATAGCTCTAGCCTGTCATTTTATTAAACATGATATTCTCATAGCCTGCTTACTTGTTTATTTTTTTCATGAAACCATAAGCATCTTGAGGTCAGAGTTGCTCACAGGATACAAGTTGTATCTTGCTCACAGTTGTATCCTGAGTGCCTGGTTTAGTGCCCAGCATATAGAAGACACTGAATAAATGTTTGTTCAATGAATATATGAAGGTAGCACATTAATGATTATCACATGTAACGTGGCAAAATACATTTAACACATGATAGTTTTTCCTCTTTGAAAATATAGAGAATCGTCTAACTTGGCAATATATATTTTCACATTTCAGGAGCATTTAGATAGCACCCATGGTTCAGTCCATTCCTTAGATGGAGACTTACTGTTGCCATCTGGAGATCCATTCAGTAAATCGGACAATGACATGTTTAAAGATGGACTCAGGAGAGCACAGTCGACAGACAGCTTGGGAACCTCAGGCTCACTGCAATCCAAAGCTTTAGGCTATAACTACAAAGCAAAATCTGCTGGGAACCTGGACGAGTCGGATTTTGGACCATTGGTAGGAGCAGATTCAGTCTCTGAGAACTTTGATACTGCCTCCCTTGGGTCACTGCAAATGCCAAGTGGGTTTATGTTAACCAAAGATCAGGAAAGAGCAATCAAGGCGATGACACCAGAACAAGAAGAGACGGCGTCCCTCCTCTCCAGTGTCACCCAGGGTATGGAAACTGCTTACGTGTCCCCCAGTGGTTACCGCTTAGTCAGTGAGACAGAATGGAATCTCCTGCAGAAAGAGGTGAGTTATCTTTCTTTTTTCCTCTTGCCTCTTTGAGGCGTACAGCGTAGCTCTGGGATTTATTGTTCATTCAGTAGATAGTCCCTGGAGCCAGTGCATGTACGTGTAGCCAGCAAGTGGATGTTAACCCATATCTTCTGACCCTTGTCATAGTCTGCTTTGGCTATTCCAGGTGATATGACAGAGAAGGGAACTAACTAGCTAATTGCATTGAGTGTGAACTTCTCCACCTGAAGTCACACCTCTGAAGTTGGAGCAGTAGCGAAGTTTAAGTTAGAGTAGCCTGAATTTGGTTTGCTCTGCAGTGTTCTATAATCTCAATGTATTCCAAGATTCACACTTTTTCATCTTTCCTTGAGATCTGAAGTGCAAATGCTTGTCAGCAGTTGATGCTGAGAATGAGTTTAAGGAGGTGGTGGAAAATAAGGGAGAGAAAAGGCAGTCTTTAAGATGAGGTTAATTTTCCTTCTAATAGTATTTGCAAACTCAGAAGTCAGATTGAGAGATAAAACTTAAATATGTATTTGCATAGTGCTTTACAGATTACAAAGCCCTTTCACATACCTCATCTCTTTGAACTTCACGATAATAGTGAGGCAGTCAGGGCATGATTGTTCCCAATTCACAGATGAGGGAACTAGCCCAGAAAGATCAAGTTGCTCGTTTCCCCTTTGACTTAGTAGCAAAACCTGAGTTAGAATCCCGGTTTTCTGACTTCCTTTACCTGGGGCTACTTCTCTTTAAAGAAGCTATCCATCAGTAAGCGGAACAGCTTATTAAGCTTGAAAGAAACTATTCTTGGTCTTGTGTAAAACATATATGAGAAGGTGCTACTTAATAGTTTCATACCTACTTTGCAATTGGAGCAGAGGAAATGGTTACTTGGTACCGGTTCCTCCCCTGTCCCCTCTCCTGGTTGGGTAGTGTGGATTTAAATTGTGAGTGCCACAGTGTAGTACCTTTTGCTTGCTTTGTGTTTTCCTCACATGTAGTGTTTTGTGGCCCTTAGCCTCCTGCTGATAAAGTTGTGTCCCTTGTTTTCCTATCATACTTGTATTGGAGCTTATGACTAAATTTTTAGAATCCGACCCTTTATTGTAACTTCTTGCCATAAGTCCCTGAAGAAATTGTTTACTCCATGTTCTACTTTGAGTAACATAGGTAAGACTATGTATGTGTTCCTCAAGTATGTGATGTAGAATTATTTTGTTCTGCCTGATAAGAATTCATTTTGGTGCCCTCCAGGTACATAATGCTGGAAATAAACTTGGTAGACGATGTGATATGTGTTCCAATTATGAAAAACAGTTACAAGGAATTCAAATTCAGGAGGCTGAAACAAGAGACCAGGTGAGTTTCTTTTGGGTATTCCAAATTGTGAGCTGTTGTAGTTTGGAGGTGCAGAATTAATTGTCATTTTTCCCCGCCCATTTGCTTTATGAAGTATATCCATCTTGTTAAATATGAAATAATCTGGTACATGCAGTGTCAGTTACGTTTCCAGTGGGAGCACACTTGCACCTCTGCTTTCGTTTGTCTTTGCTTCATTAACTTGCCCAACGCCACACAGGTCAGCTCTGCTCTTATAGGAACACAGGCACATCTTCCCTCCCAACCTGCCCCTCTGCCCAAGGCCTAAAAGCGATGCTGTCATGAGTGTATACACATGGAAGGTGCTTTATGATGTGGAGATTTACGGAGATAAGAGGTTGACTATTGCCTCTAATTGAGTAAAAATTTAATTGAATATTATATTAATCAGTATTTGGAATCTTCATTGCTTATTGCCTACTTCTTGTCATACATTTGTTGAGTTGATTAAGGTAATGTACACGGTCACAGACATGAAGATTTGGTAGGCTGAGATTGACAAGTACCTTTCCAAATACAGTACCTAGTAATAGGTTCCTTGATAACATTTAGGAAATAATGTAGAATTTCATGAAAGTAGGCTTGTGAAAGTATATGTAAGGAAAAGAAAAATTTTTTTCTTATATTTCCAAATTGTTCTTTGATTGTTATGAAGATTGTTATGAAGATTGTTCCTTTAGTCTTCAAAATAAATTTAAGCAGATGAGAATGACAGTTTAATATTTTCAAATGCCACTGGCATTGATTCCTTATATGCTTTTTTTCGTAAATGATTCAAAGGTAAGTTTCTAAAGCTGTTTGTAAAACTAATATAGTTGGCCTCTGACAGTGTGGTGTGGGAATGGGCTGTTTTGGATTCCATAGTCACTTCAGTAGACATTTTACTGATGCTTTATCTGTGCCTGGCATTTTGCTGGGTCCTGGGTATTCAGATACAGATAGAACACAGTACTGCCCATAGGAGCTTTCAGTGTTGCCAGCCAAGCCGTCAGTTCAATGTAGTTTGTTCCTGTAGATGTACACATGGAACTAGAGGAGGGGCGGGGGCACCTAACTTAACTGTGGGCTCAATTGAGTAACACTTGTGGGTAACATGAGAGGTAAGTTTGTTTTAGAGCTGGAGTAAAAATTAATTAGGAAAAGAAGTGAGGAAATGGTGTTTAAGGAGAGGAAAGATGTACAAAGGAACAGAGTTATGAAGGAAAATGTGTTCTAGGAAGTATGAATAATTCATGTGGCTCGGCACAGGGCCTGTGTGTGTGTGTGTGTATGTGTGTGTGTGTTATAAAATAACGAGAGAGGAAGCAACAAAGGGAAGGCTTTAACGAGAACATTGAGGGAGGGTGATGATTGAAAGATTTACATTTTATCTTGAAGACTTTGGGAGGCATTTAGGGATTTTAAGTAGGGAAATAATGTGATCTGATTTTTGTTTTAGGAAAAATTTATAGTGTTAGTGTAGATTGTAGATTGGAGGCAGAGTGTAGACTAGAGTCAGGGAGGCCAGTGCCCTAGCCTAGAGGACCCAGAAAGAAAAGCAGATATTTTAGGGCCGGCCCCGTGGCTTAGCGGTTAAGTGCATGTGCTCCGCTACTGGCGGCCTGCGTTCGGATCCTGGGTGAGAACCGATGCACCGCTTCTCCGGCCATGCTGAGGCCACGTCCCACATACAGCAACTAGAAGGATGTGCAACTATGACATACAACTATCTACTGGGGCTTTGGGGGAAAAAAAAGGAGGAGGATTGGCAATAGATGTTAGCTCAGAGCCCGTCTTCCTCAGCAAAAAGAGGAGGATTAGCACAGATGTTAGCTCAGGGCTGATCTGCCTCACAAAAAAAAAAAAAGAAAAGCAGATATTTTAAAATGAGATAATGTATCTGAAAAGTGATTTGTTTGTTAACTGTAAAGCACCATAGAGTCATTGAATTAGGTCATTCATCTAATTTCTTTCTGAATTGACAAATCTCTGATGTTTCTCAGGAAAAAAAAAGACTAAAAATTTTTCTAGAGTTACAGATTTTTTTCAATTTATGAAAGAATTCTGGTACTTCCTTCTAATTGACATTTAAAATTGCATAGGTGAAAAAACTGCAGGTGATGCTAAGGCAAGCAAATGACCAGTTAGAGAAGACAATGAAAGATAAACAGGAACTGGAAGACTTCGTAAAGCAGAGCACTGAAGATTCAAGTCATCAGGTAAAGGAAGGTTTTTAGAATGTGACCCATGGGAGATGACTGGATTGTTTAAATAAAAAAATTCTGAAAACAGTAATATTTCTTTCTTGCCCTAAAGATTTGGCAGTTCTACGTTCCCTCAGATAAAAAGATCTCTTACTGATCTTTCTCTGGTGTCTGTTTCACAGATTTTTTAAAAATAACTTTTGAAATAACTGGTTAATGAATATCAGGAGGCTCTGATTCTCCTTCCCCTTTGGTTTTTATTAGCTTTTCTGCTGCACAAGAAACTTACTGACAAGAAAGATACTAATTATCTTCTTTTTGACTTTTTAAAAGTATAGCATACGTAGAAAAAACACAGACACATACAGATATACCAAACATATCAGAAGAAACATTTGTGTAACCTCCATCAAGATCAAATAATAGAACATTAGCCAGTACCCTGGACGCCTTCACTTTCCCCCTCCACTTACTACCCATTCCCCCGAGGTAACCACTGTCCTAATTTTTAACACCATTAGATTGGTTGTATCTGTTTTATTTTAGCAAATGAATCATGTAGTATGTATGCTTTTGTGTCTGTCTGCTTCTATTCAACATTGTGACATTCCTACTCAGGATGCATGTAGCAGTAGTTTGTTCATTTTCATTGTTGTGTGGTTGTACCGTTGTGTGGATATATCACAATTTATCCATCTTAATGTTGATGAGTGTTTGAGTTATTTCCAGTTCTGGGATATTGTGAATAATTCTACTTTGACATTTCTGTAAAGGACTTGTCGCACGTTTCTGCTGGGAATATGCCTAGGAGTGGAATGCCTGGGTCAAAATTTTCAAAATGTATGTCAACTTTAGCAGATAATAATTGCAAACAGTTTTCCAAAGTGGTTGTATGAATTTGTACTCCCACCAGCAGTGTACGAGAAGAATTACTGTGAGTCCACTGTCTTGACAAACTTCATTTTTTAAAAATTATTTTATTGAGGTCTTACTGGTTTATAACATTGTGTAACTTCAGGCGTGTGTTATTATATATCAGTTTCCTTATAGACTGCATCGTGCTCACCACCAATAGTCTAGTTTTTATCCGTCACCATATATATGTGCCCCTTTACCCCTTTTGCCCATCCCCCAACCCCCTTCCCGTCTGGTAACCACTAATCTGTTCTGTTTATCCATGTGTTTATCTCCCACATATAAGTGAAATCATGCGGTGTTTGTCTTTCTCTGTCTGGCTTATTTCGCTTAACATAATCCCCTCAAGGTCTATACATGTTGTTGCAAATGGGACAATTTTTTCTTTTTTTTATGGCTGAGTAGTATTCCACTTGGGTTACTTCCACATCTTGGTTATTGTGAATAATGTTGCAGTGAACATAGGGGTGAATAGATCTCTTGGTATTGTTGATTTCGTGTTCTTTGGATAAATACTGAGTTAGTGGGATAGCTTGATTGTATGATATTTCTATTTTTAATTTTTTGAGAAATCTCCATTCTGTTTTCCGTAGTGGCTGCACCAGTTTGCAATCCCACCAGCAATGTATGAGGGTTCTCTTTTCTCCACATCCTCTCCAACACTTATTATTTCTTATCTTGTTAATTATAGGCATTCTGATGGGTGTGTGGTGATCCTCACACCCATCTACTCATTGTAGTTTTGATTTGCATTTCCCTAATAATTAGTGACGTTAAACATCTTTTCATGTGCTTGTTGGCCATCTGCATATCTTCTGTAGAAAAATGTCTGTTCATCTCCTCTGCCCATTTTTTGATCGGGTTGTTTGTTTTTTTGTTGTTGAGTTGTATGAGTTCTTTATATATTTTGGAAATTAACCCCTTGTCAGATATATGATTTGGAAATATTTTCTTCCAGTTGGTGGGTTGTCTTTTTGTGTTGTTCATGGTTTCCTTTGCCTTGCAGAAGCTTTTTTTGACAAACTTCGTTTTGTTAGTTATTTTAATTATAGCCATTTTGGTGGGTGTGTAATGGTATTTCATTGTGGTTTAGTTTGCATTTCTCTGATGACTGTTCAGGCTATTTAGCATTTTTCATGTTTATTGGCCATTGGGATATCATTTGTGTGTGTGTGTGTGTGTGTGTGTGAGATTCCTTCTCAAATCTTATGCTCATTTTTCTGTTGGGTTGTCTGTTTTATTTTTTTGCTTACTTGTTTTGCTGATTTGTCAGAAGTTCTTTATATAATATTATTAGAGCCTTTTGTTGATATGTGTTGTAAATGTCTTCTACTCAGTACCTTATGTTTTCAATATTTTAATGGTGTCTTTTGATCAACAGACGTTTCTAATTTTAATGTAGTCAAATTTACTGATCTTTTCTTTATGATTAGCAATTTTTGTCCTAGTTTTTAAAATAATATTTTCTTACCCTGGGGTTATGAAGATGTTTTTATATATTTTGCAGAAGCTTCATCGTTTATAGTCACTCACATTTATATCTAAAATCCATCTAGAACTGACTTTTATGTATATGCTATAGATAAGGGTAAAATTTTATTTTACTTTTTTCATATGGATAGCCAGTTCCTGTACCATTTAGTGAAAAGATCACCTCTTCCCACGTACTCTGCAGGGTTATCTTTGTCATCTATCAAATGAATATACATGTGTGGTTCATTTTCAGGGCTCTGTTCTGTTCGATTGGTTTGTCTATTTTTGTGCCAGATTCTATGCTGTAATTTATAGTAAAAATTTTCACTTGCTTCTTTTTTATAGTTTTATTTCTCTGCTGAGAATGGTGTTTCCATTCATTTCAAAAGTACTTACCTTTACCTCATGCAGCATAGTTAACAATAGCTACTTTAAAGTCTTTGATAATTCAGACTTAGGTCATCATGGGCTTGGCATGTGTTGATTTTCGTTCCTCTTGAGAATTGGTCACATTTTCCAGATCTTTCTATGACAGGTACTTTTAGATTGTATCTTGGGAATTAGGAATATTTTATTGTGAATAAAATATTTATCCTGGGTTCTGTTGATCTGATTAGGTTCAGTTCACAAGTTCTGTCTTGCCTTCTGTGAGTGATAGTTCTAATATCAGTATATTTTTAAAAGGCTTTGCAGTGCTACTTTGGATCTGTCCATGTACGTATAGCTCAGGGGTGAGGGTGGGACTTGTGCTGGTTTGTACACAGAATTAGGGGATCCTTTTTCTAGCTCTCTCTCTCTGAGGTTACCTCCCTACTTTTCAGCTCACAAGGACCCTGTCCTGGCCCTGTGATCAGAAAGAGTTTTATCTCCTGTGCTGCTGCAGCTGTTGCAGCCTTACAACTGGGGCAGCCCTCAGATGAGTGCTGGCAAGTAGGAGAAACCCCAAATAAACAGTAAACTCACTCCTGTGTGAATTGCTTCTTCCCATTTTGACTTCCCTCCCTAAGCTGTCTGCTTTTGCTTATTTTTCAGAGTCCTCAGGTAGTTGCTTTTTGTATTTTATCCAGAGTTTTTAGTTGTAATTAGAGGAGAGAAAGGCCATACTGGGCTTTGTCCATCTTGGATGGCCCCAGGTCTCCATTCTCTCATATTTTTGTTTATCAGGCATATCTTTTTCTTTCTACCCTCAATCAAGAAGGATGCTTTGGCCAACTATAGAATTCTGAGCACTTATGTTATTTTCTTTCAGCACTTTGAAGTTATTATTCCATTGCTTCTGGCTTCCATGTCTCTGATGAGAAGTCAGCTATCAGTCTTATTGTTGCTTCTTTGAAGGTAAAATGTTATTTTTTCCCTGGCCATTTTAAAGATGTTCTTTTTGGCTTATTTTTTCAGCAGTTTTGATGTGGTATACCTAGGTGTATTTTTCTTTGTATTTCTCCTGTTCGAGGATCACAGGGTTTCTTGGATCTCTGAATTGATGTCTTACATCATAATTGGAATATTCTCAGCCATTGTCTCTTTAAAAAACTTGTTTTTATTGAGATATACTTAGAGTGAAGTGCACAAATCTCAGGTATACAATTTGATGAATTTTAACATGAAAAATTTTACCAGGGTAATCATTAGCTGGATCAAGATACAGAACATTTCTAATATATGCATGCTTTTTCCTAATTAATAAATACTCCACCTGCCTGTACGTAGAGGTAGCCAGTATTCTGACTTTTAACACCATGTTTTAGTATTGCTTGTTCTTAAACTTCATATAAATGGAATCATATAGTGGGTAGCCTTTTGCATCTGGTCTATTTGATCATTGTGTCTGTGAGACTCATCCATATTGTTCTGTGTATCAGTAGTTAGATTTTAATGCTGTGTATATTCTGTTACATGGATATACCATAATTTATTTACCCATTCTGCAGTTGAGGGATACTTGAGTTGTTTCTGGATTTTGGCTATTGTGAATGAATACATTTTCTAACATTTTTGTATACGTCTTTTGGTGGCTATGTGGACTCATTTCTCTTGAGTATAGCTAGGAGTTAAATTACAGAGTTTTGCATAGGCTTATTTTCAGCTCTATTGGTTATTTGCCATTATTGCTTCAACTCTTCATATATGTGTTAAACCTTCACATTGCATCTGCAAGGCTTTTTAAACTCCTCTTCTGTATTTTCCACCTTTTTTGTCTTTATATTCTTCAGATTTGTCTTCTAGTTCATTAATTTTCTCTTCAGATGGATCTAAGCTGTTAAACTCATCCATGGAATTAAAAAAATTTTTTTTTCAGTTTATTATTTCCATTTGGTTATTTTTTATTGTTTCTAGTTCTCTGGCGGTTCTAAATTTTGTCTTTTAAATCTCTGAACAGATCAGGTATAGTTATTTTAAAGTTTGTCTCTAATAATTCACATATCTAGATTCATTGTAGATGTGTTTCTATTATATGTTTTGTTTTTTATAATTTTCTTTTGTTTTTTTTATCATATCCTTGTGCATTTTTACTTGAGTGCTGGACATGGTATGTGAAAAATTGTTGAAATAATATAAAGCCATTTTCTTTATAAGAGGTAGGCAACTAGTGGTACTAACAATCCTGCATCACCTTAATCCAGTTACAGGAATTGAGGTTGTATAAAGTTGTGAAGGTTGGGTTATTTTAAATTCTTCCTTACTCTAAGGTGTGGCTCTTTGGGGACCCAATCCAAAGTGCAGAGTGTTGTCTAGGGGTCCCTTTGCATAATGCGTCCTGGACTCTTAACTTTTGCCACCGTATCCTGGGGCTCTCACATGCTCTGCTCAGCTTCTCAGTGTCACATCTGTTTCTTTTGGAATTGGCACATGCTTCTAGAGAAGAGCAGTTCCAGATGCTCCACTCAGCTCTCCAAGTGTCCTCATTCTGGTCCTTGGCTCTGTGATTCTTTTTTGCCTTGTTCTCTAATTTCTTCAAGTATATATCTTTTATATTTTTGTCTGGTTTTCTTAATTCTCAGTAGGAAGGTTGGTTCATGTTACCTAATCTGCTACTACTGGAAGCAGAATTCTGACAATAATCATTTTTTTAAAGTCTAAACAAATTTATTTTGATTTATTTTATAATTCTTATTTATGAGTCATCAACTTTCACATAAACCCATCCTCAGGAACATTACTAATCCAAGGGAGTTTAGAGTTTGGTGATGTTAATCATGTGTTTATTGCTCTTAAGTAAACCATCTTAGGAGATTGCAACTAGTTCAGAAAATGTTCCTTTATCCTTTAAACTGTGTGCTTTTTTTGTGGACAGAGTTTCAAAATTTTTATTATTTTTTTATTTTTTATTTTTTTAGCTCTTTTACAATTAATATTTATAACTAGGTCACATGGATTAACATCTATGTCTAAAGACCCATAAAATGCCATTTGTTCATGTATGGCAGCACATGACCCTAGGGACTTTTAGTACTGCTTTGTGTTATCTGAAAGGCTGAGGCTTTGTACACAGCAGATGGATACATATCTGTTGAATAAGTGATGAGTGGGTTATGATGAACTAATAAAACATCGATTTTGGACATTAGATAAGCAGGAAATGGAAGGGTTCTTTTCAGAATAACCAGTTTCCTAACTGTATTTTCTGTGTATGCATTTTTTTTCTTTTAAGATCTCAGCACTTGCCTTAAGAGCCCAAGCATCTGAGATCTTACTTGAAGAGTTACAACAGGGGTTTTCCCAAGCAAAGAGGGATGTTCAGGAACAGATGGTAAGTTAACATTTAAATAAACATTAACGATGGTAAATGTAGTCCTTTTTGTTCTATCTTGAAATCTTCTGTGATATGCCGGTATTTCCCCGGCCAAAGAGGTCACTGTTCTCCAGGGTGTATAGAACATTAGTAATGGACAAGATTACATAAAGACATTATTCCTTTTTTAAACCTACCTCCTGACCAAAAAAAATTCTCACCTTTAAGTTATTTTTTTGATTTGAGAAACCTAAACACGATAAACTATGGATCAACATTTAATTTTCAGTTCCAAATAAAAGCTAAAAATTGAAATCTCTCAGAGCCCTAGCAGGTGCAGATTTTGAGCACGACTGTTTTGCTTTTTCTGGACAGCTAATTTACTTAAAATAACCTCATTAATTACACAAAAGTTATGATAAAACATGTATCATAACTGCTGTGGTGCTGGGGAACTTCCAGAAGGCCATCAGTTTTGAGAGGGATAAGGGCAGAGAGCTTCTTGAAGAGCTGCCTGGAATGTCTGCAAACTAGTCCCCTAGATTTGGGCCTCTCTCCTCACCAGTCTGGCTCCATTTGTCTTGTTCTTCCTTTTTCTCAAAGTGGGAGCCCTGCATCTGATGGCCCTTTGTAGATTATAGCAGAGTTGGTCTTACTGGGATGATCCTACAGAACTGCCTTTTGTCCAGCTCTTCTAAGGATGACAGGGGAAAAAAAGCGCCTCATTTCATATGGTAATGGTTTGTTTTTGATTGGCATTGGGTCAGTATCTGAATGGTCTTTGAGCTGATCCTTAAATACTAGCCCTGGTCTGTTGGGAAGCGTCTCATCCTAATCATTGACCAGAGAGAGTTTCGTGTCTTTTCGTTAGTTAGAGAATATGAAATAATAATTGTTGATCTAAAAATCACTGTTAAATGCTGACAGAGTTTCATAGTATTTAGCATCCTTACACTCCTCTGTCCCTTTCATCTTTTTCCTTCTTGTCTTTTAAAACTGATCCACCTTTGCAAACATTTTTCAGGTTGATTTCACGTAAAATGAATGTTGCAGGTGACGTTGAAGAATTGTTGAAGTTAAATTTGAGGTCCTGTGAACTCTAATACCTTACCATTTTCTTGAAATTACCTTTAAAGGTTCTTACGCTGAGAAAGAAAGAGAAACTCAGTTTCTTAAGCCCCTTCAGAGAAGAGTAGCTATGGTAATGGTTGAGATCTTAATATTTCCCCCTAACTTTTTATTTGGAAAAATTTGAAACTTTAGAGAGGTTTATGGAATGAAGACTCAAAAATGTTCACTTAGATTGACCAGTTGTTAATATTTTGCCACATTTTTACATGCTTACAATTGTTTCTTAGTCTCTCTCTCTCTTTCATATATATGTGTTGTATTATATAAGTATGTATATTATAAATGTATATATGATTTTTTTCTGAACCATTTGGAATTAAGTTGCAGACGTCATGACACTCTTGTTATGTATCTCCTAAGAACAAAGAAGTCGTTCTACATAACCGTAATACTATTATTACATCCTTAAGATGTAACCATTGTCCCCAAAAGTCCTTGATTGTTTTTTAGTGGTTTTAATTTTTTATTATTCTTTTGCTGAGGAAGATTTGCCCTGAGCTAACATCTGTGCCAGTCTTCCTCTATTTTGTATGTGGGTTGCCACCACAGCATGGCCGCCGATGAGTGGTGTATGTCCATGCCCAGGAACCGAACCCAGGCCATCAAAGCGGAGCGTGCCAAACTTAACTACTAGGCCGTGGGGCTGTCCCTGGTTTTAATTTTTTTATTTTAATTTTTTGATTGAGGAATCAATCAAGGATCAGATTGTATTTTGTTGTCATGTCACTTTAGTCTCCTTTAATCAAGAACAGTCACCCACCTTTCTTTTTTTTGGCTTTTTTGACTTTAACATTTTTTAAGAGTCCAGACCAGTTGCCTTGTAGAATGCATTTGTCTGATTATTTCCACATGATTAGATTCAGGTTAGACATTTTGGCAAGAAGAATACTACATAGATGAAGTGATTGAATGGGAAGTTCATAACATCAAGGGCATATTATGATGGGTGGTTCCATTATTGGTGATGTTAAGTTTGATCCCTTGGTTAAGGGAGGGACAAAATAGTTTCAGAATGACTACATTAATATTGCTACTAACAGCAAACCTACTGAGTGAAGCATGGCATTTCTTTGTAGTTCTTTTTGCCCTTGGAATGTATCCCAGGTAAGGGTTTACAGTCTGGGTACTGTGTTCAAAAGTTACTTGAATTGATCTTTCTCTCTGTGGTTGTGTTATCCATTTGATGTATGGTTAGCTCCATTTGTTTCTGCTTGTATTACATTTTTGGATTTTCTTTTTTCTTTTTTGATTTACTTTTCTTTTTTTTTGAGCTTGCAACATGGTTCATAAGTCAAAACTATAAAAATATACAAATAATCAGAAGTTTCGATTCCATTCCCTGTCCTGTTCACCCCGTTCCCATTCATTCCCATACATGGTCATTTAAAGTTACTTTTTGTTTATCCTTCTGTTCTTTTTATAAAAACAAGCAAATATATACATACTCTTCTTTCCCTTCTTTCATATCCAAAAGGTAATGGGATGCTAATATTTTGTTGTAAATGGGTTGAAAGTGAGCATAAGGCGCAACTGATTTCGGTCTGAAGATATAGAAGAGCCAATAGAATTAACTAAAGTTTATGCATGACCTCGCCTGCCTGCCAGCAGCCTAATTGTCCTTCAGGATGCAGTGATCACCTTCTCTGGAAATGTTCTTGAACCCTGTCCCCTAATTAGGTACCCCTTTGTCCTTCTATCACTGCTGCACCCATTCTGTGTCATGGCACTGTAGTACAGGTGGGTAACTTTGGGTTTACTTGTCTTGCCCTCCGCTACACCGTGAGCTTTTCTGGGGCAAAGTCTGTCTTTTTTCTCTGTATTCCCCATAGGCAGCAAAGCACCTAGCATAGAGTAGTAGCTGCTAAATCAACGTTGGATGAGTGAGTAATCTACATTTCTGTATACGTTTAAGTTAGATGACTAGTACTAAAAATTAGCAGAAATTAAATACTTTTGCAGAATTTATCTTATACTCAAATTAGCTGGAATAACTTTTATACTGATAGAGTCATATGAATACCTAAAATGTTTTATACATCAGCAAGCAGAAGTAGGAACATATCCCGTTTTAAGAATGAGCTCTTTAAGTGTCTTGTATTGCCTAAGCATCGATCCTCTTGATGACTTTCAATATTTGGGGTCCTTGGGCCATTCATAGTGATCCTGAGCTTGAAGATATATATATATATATATGTAATGAAAGATGAAGACACTGCTTTTTTGTTTCTCCCTACTTCCTATTGAATGCATGCTGTGAGGAAATAGGAATTGTCTTGGAGTACATGTTCTATTTGATATACGTTTTGATTGTGCAGCCACTTCCATTGAGCTAAGGATACTGGTCCTTCTGTAGTCCAGGGATATTGGGGGAGAGATTCAGTACTTTTAAGCTGTTGGTAGAAACAGTGGAGAATGAGCTCAAGTATTTGCTTCATTGCTTGTCCCCTTGAATATATGTAAAGGCTGCCAATCAAAAAATTTTCTGAGCTGCTGTTTGTAAGTCTACAGAGCTTAATTATGTAGCCTCCACCCTCAGCCCTTATTTAGTTTGGCCTTGTTTTTCTTTGGTGCAGATATCAGCGGATAGCATTTACCTTTCTGGCTGTGATTAGTATCTGTTTCTATTTTAGGCAGTGCTGATGCAGTCACGGGAACAGGTTTCAGAAGAGCTGGTGAGGTTACAGAAAGATAATGACAGTCTTCAGGGAAAGCATAGCTTGCATGTGTCATTACAGCAAGCAGAAGACTTCATTCTCCCGGACACTATAGAGGTAACTTATTTTCCATATGATCAAAAATGTAAACAAGTACATTTTCTGAAATGGCTATCAATTTTTCTTTTTCAAAACAGGCTTTATTGAGATATAATTGACATACCAAATAATTCCCCCATTTAAAGTGCACAATTCAGTGGTTTTTAGTATATTCTCAGATGTGTAGCCATCACCACAATCAATTCTAGAACATTTTCATCCCCTCAGAAAGAAACTCCTTACCCTTGATTCTTCCACCCCCACAACCTTAAGCAATTACACATCTACTTACTGTCTATAGATTGCCCTATTCTGGACTTGCACATGAATGGAATCAAACAATTTGTAATCTTTTGCGTCTGGCTTCTTTTCATGTAGCATACTGTTTTCAAGGTTCATCCATGTCGTAGCATGTATCACTACTTCGTTCCTTTTTTATGGCTGATTAATACTCCACTGTATGGATATTTTGTTTATCCATTCATCTGTTGATGAACATTTGGGTTGTTTCCACTTTTGGACTGTTATGAATAATGTTGCTATAAACATTCATGTACAGGTTTTGGTGTGGACATATGTTTTTATTTCTCTTGGGTATAAACCTGGGAGTGGAATTGCTGGGTCATATGAGAACTCTGTGTTTAATCATTTGAGGATTTCTCCACATCCTCACCAAGGCTTGTAGTTATCTCACTTTTTGATTATAGCCATCCTAGTGGGTGTGAGGTGTATCTCATTGTGGTTTTGATTTGCATTTCCCTAATGACTGATGATATTGAGCATCTTTCCATGTGTTTATTGGCCATTTGTATATCTTCCTTGGAGAAATATCTATTCAGATCCTTTGCTCACTTTGAAATTGGGTTGTTTTTTTATTTTTGTGTTTTAAGAGTTCTTTATATATTCTAGATATAAGTCTCATATCAGGTAAATGATTTGCAGATATTTTCTCCCATTCTGTTGATTGTCTTTTTTAGTTTCTTGATGGTGTCCTTTGAAGCACAAAAGTTTTTAATTTTGATAAAGTCCAGTTTACCTATTTTTTTCTTCTCTTGCTCGTGTTTTCACTATCATATCTAAGAATCCTTTGCCAAATCAAAGGTCTAAGTTATTCTTGCAGGACCAGATTGAGAAGGCACCAGAAATTAAACGTTTGACGGGGTTGCCAAGCTAGCTCCTTGTGATGTTTGTTTTTCCATTTAGCACTTAAAAGGGTACATCACATTCACCCTCCTTCTGTTTTCCAATAACTTTCATGACAGTTTTGGTCACTTCTGTTCTTCGGTGGTTGGGTGAACCTGGGCTACAAAATTAGAAGTTTCCCTGAGACATTCATAACTATCTCCTTAACTTTCTCCAACCTTTGTAGCCATACATTTTTAAACCTTTCAGTGTACAAAAAAAATATCATTTTAGACCCAAGTAAGCACTATAAACAGTATAAGTGAAGATGAGATTTCTTAGAGCAATTTTCAAAACAAAATAGAAAAATGTTACTTCTAAGATTTTTTCTTTTATTATTAAAAAAATGAAATTATAATTGTTAAAAATTATTTAAACATCAAACCTTACAGAAATTTATAGTTTTGAAGTCACAGTTTTCCCTAAACCTACCCTGCAGATTCAACCTCTGTAATTTGGACCTCATTCTTTTTTCTTTTTTCCTTATATACATATCGACATTACTGTTATTTTTGTTTTTATTTGCTTATTTACAAGGGCTCCACTGCCTACCTTGCCATCAGTTTCTTGCTCCCCCCCTCATCCCCCTTCCCTCCCCCAGCTTGTGGTCTCAGCTCAGGTTACTGGCGCTCTTGGGAGAGCTGGCTCTTCTTTCTGAACTGGTGACTGATCTTATCAAAGAGAAAGTTTTGGGAGCCTGTCTACTTTTGCCATCAGCATACCACTTTTGCCATCAGCATACCACTTTCCACCTGTGTTCAACTTTTCTCTTTTGGCAGGAAAGATTCCTCTCTTCTATGTTCTCTAGAGACTTTTGATTTCTAGTTAAAAAAAAAAATTCCAAGAATCCTTGAAGGATGTAACCAGTCTAGCCTGTAAGCCTTGATTCTTAGACCTACTTCAGTAATACATGTTAGGAAAATTTTCTAGTTACAGTTTTTTAGTTACTCTTTTTTTCTTCTGTTCTTTAATTTATAGACTTTTGGTAGTTATCTAAGATTCCCAGTTTTTACTTTAGAGTTGCTTTAGGCTATAATTGAGAGGACTTTTTTTTAAAAAGACAACTAAAATTTAGGGAAAAAATAATATTTAAACTGTATTTATAATAGAAAAACAGCTGATCACTTTAGAAGCCACTCTTTGTCATACTTGCCTCTGGTCTAACATAGTACTTTGCTTGTGGTAGATGTTCAGCAAGTGTTTGAATGAATAAATAAATTTTATCCTCTTAGAGTTCACACTTTCTTCTGAGTTGCAGTCTTTTTGGTCCTCATGTTACCACCCAGTGTGGGGCCTTCTGCTTGCTGCAAGACATGCCAATAGTCAAGAGGCAAGGTGGTAGGAGAGAATGGACTTTTTATTACAGCTTGCTAGCAAGGGGGAAGATGGCCGACTCATGTCCAAAAGAACCACCTTAAGGGGGCACAAAATCTGACAGCAGTTATAGGCCATGGGGTTATTGGGGTGGGGGTTAGGAATGTTGACCTTCTGGTGTTACAGACTGGAAGCACCACACCAGATCTTTCAGTTTTCACTGATGAGGGCTATCAGCACAGATTCTCTGTTCGGGGGTCATCACATTCCTAAGGAACTCAAAAAAACAAAGTTTTCATCTTATCGCAGCTGGGAGGTACATGCACAAGCAGGGGTCGTAAAATCTACAGAGCAGTGAGATCTCCTGGAGGGTGCCTGTCCAGCTGGGTTAGTTGTCAGAGGTCATTCAAAGTTACAATAGGGTTTCTTTTCTACAGTATGGCTTCCCTTATGTCAACCTTGTCTTTAGCCGGTATCACTCATATTCTAACTCCCCTCAAATTTAAGCTAGTAATCATAGAAGCTCCTAAGCTATTTATAGTGAATCTCACATTAAGTCACTTAAGATTTTAATTTTTCTACTTATGAAACAGTTTTGAGGGAAAAATACATATTCACAATACACGTTATTGGCTGGAAATGTTGTCTGTTATCTGTAACATACTGAGTGTTAACATGACATGGCATCTGCCCCTTGAAGCCCCAAGTGGGTTGGAGTTCAAAGTCTTACATTTGTGAACCATTTAAAACAACACCTGAAATTCCAGTTGCAGAAAATCTTTAGCTTCTTTTATTTTCTTTCACTCTCACAAACCCAATCACCATTTGTTTCTTGAATCTAGGCGCTCCGGGAGTTGGTATTAAAATACCGTGAGAACATCGTTAATGTGCGGACAGCAGCCGACCACATGGAAGAAAAGCTGAAGGCTGAAATACTGTTCCTAAAGGAGCAGATTCAAGCAGAACAGTGTTTAAAAGAAAACCTTGAAGAAACTCTGCAGCTAGAAATAGAAAACTGCAAGGAAGAAATAGGTGAAGATAAGAGTGATGTAGTTTAGGGGCCGGCCCTGTGGCTTAGTGGTTAAGTGCGTGTACTCTGCTACTGGTGGCCCGGGTTCGGATCCTGGATGCGCACCGATGCACTGCTTGTTGGGCCCTGCTAAGGCGGCGTCCCAGATACAGCAACTAGCAGAATGTGCAACTATGACATACAACTATCTACTGGGGCTTTGGGGAGAAAAAAAGGAAAAAAATGGAGGAGGATTGGCAATAGATGTTAGCTCAGGGCTGATCTTCCTCACCAAAAAAAAAAAAAAAAATGATGTAGTTTAGAATTGGAGGCACTAAATATAACTTGTTTTCTGTAATACATGGTCATGGAAAGTGAAAAACAGAAAAGTTTAGGAAAGAATTAAGTAGGGACTCAGTCCATTTTTCCAGATGTTCTGGAAATATATCCGGTAATTGGGAATAAAAAAGAAAACCAAAAAACATTGTATTTTCGGAGCTCTGTGGCCTCTCTCTTCAATTACTCCTAATAGGTAGGAAACTCAGTGCTTGAGCCCAGACCAGTGGGAACAGGATCAGATGGGTGGCATTTCCTTGCAGAACTTTCGTGTGTTAACACACTCCTGCTGGGAATATCTCCACCCCCACCCCACCGCCCCCAGAGTCAGAAGTGGGTATTTGATGTAGAGGTAGTTCATGACGTAGTGTTCACTCATACAGACTCTGCCTTTACCTGAGCTTCATTATGATGCTGATGGGTTGGGGATAATTTTGAGAAAGGACTGTCCTTCTCCCTTCCCACCCCCCCCACCCCATGTTCAGTATATATTTGACTCCTTTCATTGTATGATATTGAGCTTATGGTAGAAAGGGATGTTTTAAGAAAAAAGTTTAAATGCAAAATAATCAAATGCTAACACTTCTCCATCTTTTTTCCTTCTAGCTTCAATTTCTAGCCTAAAAGCTGAATTAGAAAGAATAAAAGTAGAAAAAGGACAGGTGAGTTTCATATTATTTCTGTCAACAACCAGTAGCTATTTATTGAATCCTACTGTGCTAGACTGAGGGAATAAAATGTGGTTAGGACAGTCCCTGTCTTCAAGGAACTTCTTTCTAGTGGGCAAAATATAGTGGGATAAGGGTGTGATGATGATAAAGACCATTTATTGCGAGTCTGCTCTGTGTTGACTGGAGGAGGTGCAGGGAAGGCTAAGGTGACTGCAGCCTGGAGTTTCCACTGCAGTGGGGAGACAGGCAAGGCATGGTCATGACATGATGTGGTCTACTTAAAGCTACCGTAGAAATATGTGCAAAATCTTTTACAAACAGAAGATGATGGCTGGCTTACAGTTCTCTTCCCGTAGACAACATGAACGCTTTTGGTAGATGACCCCATTCAACTCCTTGGCCTCACTGTTCATTGTCAGCCCTTCCTTCCCATATTCTTGGCTGCACCTTGTACCACCTCTGACATCACACTCCAGCCTCACATTCCCTGACTCCAATCTACCATCCTTCTGGCTCTTAATCCCATAGGTTCATCTGTGTGAGTACCTCATTCAGACCTTCATTTCCTGAACTTTTCCTTTTCTCCTGGTTTAGCAACTTCCTCGTGGCTTTGCTTGCTTTCCTTCTACGCTGCATCTTACATGGCTTGCCTCTTCAGCTAGTCTCCTACCAACACCCGAAAGTACCCCTGATGCCTCGTCTTTCTGCTGCCCTCAGTCGATACTGCCCAACTCTAGATTAATCCTGCTGTCCACGTTGCCTGCCTCTGCCCAAAGCTGCTGATGCCACTGGAATGAATTACTCTGCACGCTCTTGCTGTTAGTTGGGCCTCAAGTGCTAGTCAGCCTTCCATTTGTCCTTAGTTGTCTCTCTTCTGTTCGGACAGTCACCACTCACCTCACCCCCTCTCTCCTAGCAGATGATGGCCTTGGACCCCTGTCATCAGCAGGATCACCTTCAGCTTCTTGGCTTCTCGGTTATGTGTTCTTTTTCTTTTCTTCCTAACCTTTCTTGTTTCTTCAGAGAAAATGATGACCTGTTTCTGACCAGTCTGCTGTCACTGCAGATGTGCTTCACCTGCATCTCAATCTTTTCCGGGCATCCTCTCAGTCTTCCCCGCTCAGTCATGGGCTTCTGCCTCTTTATTGGTCCTTTCCATTATGCATAAACACGCTCAGATGTTTCCCCTTAAGAGGAGAAAAATTTCTCTTTGGACGCACTTCTCTCTCAAGCTACCAATCTTCCTTCTTCCCTTGATAGTCAAGGTTCTTGAAAGAGTAACCTCCACTGCCTGACCTCCCAGTCACTCCTCAACCCACTGCAGTCTGGCTTCTGCCTCCACTGTACTGTTGAGGTTGCACTGGCAGAAACTACCTGCACTCTGAATGTGTCCCATCCTTTCCACTCCCACTGCTACTATTTAGGTTCAGACTTCAGTTCTCACTCAGCTTATTATAACAGCCTAACTTCTTTCCCTGTCTCCAAAATTTATCCCATTCCAATTCCTCTTCATAATGAAACCAAGGTGATCTTTAAAAACTATAAACTTGACTGTGTCCCAGGCTGGTTAAAAACCTTCCAGTGGTTCCCTTCACCTCCAGGATCAAGTCCATATGTAGCTCGGCTGGAGACGTCCTGCCTCACCACTGCCGCTCCAGCCTCAGCCTCCAAGGCTCCCCACTCTGGGCTGTGGAGTAGCAAGAGCTCGCCACAGTCCCTGAAGGCATTTTTTATACATGTCGTCCACTCCCTCTTTTTGGAGTCTCTCTCTCCACCTTCTCCCTCTTACTAACCTTTTCCTTCCCATGTAAAGTTTTTCATCTTTGAAGGGTCAAATGTTATCTCTTCAAGGAAGCCCTTCTCAACTTTTCTGGCAGAATTAAATGCTGCTTCTTCCATGTTCACATGCCATAATTATTTACATCTCTCTCTCTCCTGATTTCTCCATCCCCAGGCTTTAGAACACAGTGGGTGCCTAATAAATGTTTACTGAAAGGAAGAAGGGTCTTGAAGAATAAATAGAAGATCTGCAGAGACCAAAGAGTGAGAAGAGCATTTCAAGCATAGCCAGCGTCCAAGGCCTAGGGAGGACCTGAGAGCTTGGGCATAATGCTGCAGGCCACAGGCTCCTCCAGGCAGCATGCGCTGCCTACGGGGAGTTTCTCTGAGTCTCAGCTTTCTCCCTCTTAATTTCACAGTTGGAGTCCACATTAAGAGAGAAGTCTCAACAGCTTGAGAGCCTTCAGGAAATGAAAATCACTTTGGAAGAAGAGTTAAAGAAAGAGACTGCTGCCAAGGTGGTATTTTTGTTGGTAATTTAATAAAGCAGTGCTAAGAATGTAGGATCACATTGTGCCTGTTTAAAAAAAGACATTGCTTCTTTGAATAGTGCCACCTTCTGAAAGTTGGCAAGACTCTCTGTGGAAAGAAAATGAAACAGTCTCGTTAGAGTTGGGTCAAATCTGCACACTACCAGCTCTGGAGGCCTGTGTCATAGGCCTTACTGCCTTTTTAGGCATTGGGTCAAAAGCGCCCATGAACCAAACTTGGCACCGCCCATAGCTAGAAGCACTGCTGTGAAAGTGTCATTCCATTTGATTGATTTGTCAGACATTGCATTGAACCATATTTGCTGCCTACATTTTGATTGGTCCAGTTAGAATAAAACTGCATGAGGCTATTTGTGGGGAAAGTTTCCTAGAAACAGGCTCAGTGAGCTGTGTGGTCAGACCTTAAAGTGTAAAAACACTGTGTACATGTTGTTTGATAGTCTTGTTTTTGGAAAGGTTCCCACATGGTCCTGCTGAAGTGTCTCTGTAAGGAAGATTGGAGATTGCTGGGCTGCCTGGGGCACAGTCATTGAGAATTTTCCTGGCAGATGCTTGACGGTTATGGTTGTCAGAGGAAGTCCCCAAAGTTTCTATCCCTGTTGCTGTGATAGCTGCTGCTCTTAGCAGCTGCTTTCTCATGATTAATCACTGTCACCAGGCTGCTGGGGGTGGGGATGAGGGTGAGGACTTTGGGGCATGGGGTGGAGTGTGTGCAGCACTTTAATTCAGTTTTTATTCTGGCTTTCATACTCAATTCATTTAGGACTCAACGTTCATACTCAGTTCATTTTAGGACATATACATAGCTTAGGCAACTTTCATCCTTGCCCTATAGATAAAGAGAGGCTAACAGGATCTGGAAATATGATGGATACCCACCTGTCCTCTCTAGTTAGGAAACTACAAGTTCCTAGATTTCCTCAGTGATTCTGACCTTTGGTGCTTTGGCATTAATCCTCATTCAAAACTTGTATTTTTTAGGTTACCGTTGAACAACTAATGTTTGAAGAGAAGAACAAAGCTCAGAGGTTGCAGACAGAACTAGATGTCAGTGAACAAGTCCAGAGAGATTTTGTAAAGCTTTCTCAGACCCTTCAGGTGAGGCATTTGGGGAACGAACCCCTAGACAGAGTACCAAGGCACTTTAGGGGATCTTAGTACCCAGGAGAACTTGCCAGTCTCGGACTCGACCACTGACAATAGCTAGAGGATTAGAGACTATACCCCGGCCCCAAATACCTGCCTGGTCATTCAAGCCGGAAACCAGGTTTGTACTTCAGACTTGTCCTTTTTTCCCCTTTTCCTCTATACCTTGCCGGTCCTTAAGAGTCAAGTATAAAGTCTTTAGCACACCATGTAAGGCCTATCCCTACATTTTGTTCATCTCTCTGCCTTACGTTTTTTATGTTCTAATGTTTTTTCGCTACTTGTGGTTCCTTACCCACAGCATGGTATTCCCTCTGATGAGCATCCTTATCTGATCGCCCCCTTACTCCTTACTTTCCAGGCCCAGCTTAGTTTTGTCTTCTCCCATGGAACCCTCTCCAGGTCCCCAAGCTGGGCTACACTTAAAGGTCCACCCCCCATGCTGCCTTGGCACTTAATGAATGCCTACAGTGACATTTAGCTAAAACTCTCTATAAGCTTGTTTTGTTACCCCAAATGAACTGTTGGTTCTCAGGGGTCAGGGGTCAGGCCTCATTCATCTCCACAGTCCCAGACCTTACACTGGGTCTGTTGCACAGCAGCTTTTGGGAACTGCTTTTTGAATTTAGCTGTTTTTGCTGCCTCCTTCATTTGAAGTGAGTATTCTCTGGTGAGTGAATCTGTTCCAAGTCAGCTAAACCCAAGTAAACTAAAGAAAATCTAGGCAGGGACTGTCTGCACTGATTTCACTGTATTGTTTCTCCAGGTGCAGTTAGAGCGGATCCGGCAAGCAGACTCCTTGGAGAGAATCCGGGCAATTCTGAATGATACCAAACTGACAGACATTAACCAGCTCCCTGAGACATGACACCCTCGTAGCAGGACTCTAGCCTGCACTTTGGGTTTTTAACTCATCTTTAGAGCAACATTAATTATTATTTAACTCTTAACTGAAGAAGTCACACAAAAAAAGGAAGACTGGAGAAATGCTCACTTCTAGTGGGAGAAGACTGTGCAGCACAGGAACAGCAAACAGCCAGGGTAATTTGCAGCAAAAAGACCTTTCAACTGGGAACACTAACGAGACTCCGGACTTGATTCCAGCAGGTGTGGGATCAGATTTGGTGATGGAGAAAGTGCTGTTTCCTTGCCTGCTTTATCCAACATTTCCCTACCCTAAAACACCATCCCAATAGTGTTTGGAATTACATTTTCTGTTCATAGATATTGGAAGAGAGAATTTTCTTTTCCTGTTGTCTAGAGTTCATCAGTAACAGTATTCAGCTAGCAGACAGGTATAGTATGCTGTATGAATATTTTATATTAAAATATGAAGTTTGAGAGCAGGCCATTGGCTAGTGACTGTATTTCCTAGCTCGGTGCATTTTATTTTGCCATTTTATCTTGTGTTGGAGGACCTTAAATGCTACTGAAACTTGCCTGAGAACCATAAGACAGTGGCAACAAAACCAATTCAAGAACTAAATTAATTATGAGAATTTGAAAACCTGGCTGGGGCTATATGTAGTGGAAGTTGAGGTTAAAGGAAAAGCACAAGAAACTGTTTGGAAGCACTTTTTCTGCTCCCTGGATGAGTTTCATGGGCCCACAGGTACCAAGATCAAGCTGAAGTGGCACCATCTACTCTCTTGACAACTGTTTTAGTTTAGTTATTGGATCAGTGGAAAAAACCAATATTAATAAAACCAGCTAATCTGACAACATCTAGTATAAATTTATAAATCTGCTGCTTATTTTCAACTCGAATCAGTGGGTCTGAGCACTATTTTGTTTCAAGTGTCAAATACAAAAATGGTGATAACTAGGTTTGACCTATTTTGTAACTTTCTTTTATAATTTAGACCTGGAGTGTGATAATGCTTATAGTGAAGTTGGGGAAAACCCAGTCAGTATGTTCACCAGTTTGGGAATCTGCTTTGTCATTTCTCTGAGGTTAGATTCGTTTCCTGCGTGGAGAAGCTTCAGTGAACAGGTTGTGTTTGCCGTAGCTTTACAAAGTATTGCAGAAAGCACAGAGAATGGCTTCGTGTTCACTGTTTACCTGCTGCAGCACTATTAGCCAGTGGAAGGCTACACTGTTCATCATACAGGTGGTTCCAAAGTAAAATTGTTTTCAAATAATTTTTGTGATTGGTATTGCAGAATAGCAGGGTACTTGAAGAAACCTTGGGGGAATTAAGTGGATTAAGTAGATTGTTTGGCTCACTTAAAGCCACCATCAACTTACAGTTTAAAGTAAATTGTCTTTGTTATAAATGAATTTAAAAGTAAATACTAATTATGGAAATAGTGCTAGCTAGGCTTGCCATGCATGAAACATTGTTTTAATTGGTTTCAAGTCTTTTTGTATAAAGTACTACTTGGTTTAGATAAAGGAAACATATATCTTCATTGAGTCACAGGGAATTTTATCAATTCCAGAATGCAATTAGTTTTAAATTATATGTGTTAAAACTAGTCCCTTCGATGAGACCCAAGCTAATGTGTTTTAGATTATTAAAATTGGCATCGTAAATCAGGATGGGTAATTCATAATTTCCCTGAATGAACTGAACCTACAACTCCCAGGGAACTGCTCTGCTGAGACTAGGCACTTTGCAGATATTTTTCTCCATAAGATGGTCCTGGGCCAATAAAATCATGACTAGGGAACTGTCAGCAGTCTCGACCATGGCAGATGCAAACTGTTGGAACCCACTTTGTTGAGAAAAATAACTAGAAAAACCCAAACTGAGACTCTAGGTTTTCTTAATCTATTTCTGGTCTGAAACAAACTATTGTGCCACTCTCCTGGTAGGAAACTCTTCTTTAAACTGGGTTTTCTGTATAAATGGGAAACTGATTTAGAAGGTAGGATTTAGCCCTTCTAGACAAAAGATCACTTGGGTTTCATGAGTGTTCCTGTGCTTGTATTCAGTCTCTACACGTTCTCATGCATGTCTAACCTGATTTACCTCTTACCTGTAACCTACCTTATCATGTGGCTTTTAATTGACAGTCACTCAGCCATTTCTAGGCAGGTACGGTATTACCTTTCAGAACTCATATTCACAGGTATAAAAAGATTACCTAAAGCTAACTGAGGACAAAACCATATACTGCATACCAAGTTGTTTGTTTGTTTCTTTCTCCCTTCTTTGAGGTCCTACACATGCCCCTCGTACCACTGAGTAACAAAACGTTATCAGGACACAGAGCACAGCCCAACTCAGCTCTGAAAGTTAATACTGCCTGTCAAGGAAGTGAGCCAGCAGTGGCCTTGCAATTGTGGATCCTGAGCGCGGCTCTGAGCAGATTTCAGGTGTAACCGTTTGTTAACTGTACTGAAGGTGTGTCCTTGAGAAGAAAATTTTCAAATTAAAAAAGCTGCTGCCTAGTATACTGTGTGGCCTTTTCGTTTGAATCCTAGGGTTCTGTCCTTCTTCAGAGTCATATTTCTGGCACTGCTGCTTCAAAATGCAGCTCTTATCCTTGTTCAAATATGGAGAAAACTCAGTAGTGTTCATTCACGGAGATCGGGCGGTGTGCAGCTGAAAGTTTCTGGCTTTTTTTTTTTTTTTTTAATCCTAGGCCCTTGCTGAATACAGGCATAGACTTGAGCTTATATATAAAACACATGCCAATTTTTAAATAAAAGCATTTATTGAATAATTATAAAACAAGTAAAATGTAAAAAATGATGAACAGCCACACCAAAGTTCATCTAGACTGCCTCTTTATAAATTAGATAATGCTGCTTGCTTTACAATACGAGTTTCAGCCTTCACTCGTGTTAACTTCAGGTGTGAATCTGTTGCTGGTCGTGTCAGAAGTTTACATGGTTTCGGATATCGTTAATTTGCTTCACCATTTCTCTTATGTGTTCACCCCTGTAAAATCATAAAGTCACTCACTTTTGGGAATAAAATGAATAAGTAATTAATATTCTTAAGAATTAAAATTAGTTGAAATAGCTTAGAAGTGCTTCGCTAAAATGAACACTTAAGGTTTCAGATGGATAGTAATGGCGTTTAGTATTCATTTAAGGTTAGTGGTGGTAAACCGTGGTGCAACTGCTGGAAATATTTTTGAACGTACTCATTGGGGACTCCCTTGAGCACACAACAAAATCATATTACAAGCAAGTCATCGTTTTTGATCCTTGCACTATACTCATCTCTTAAGTCCCTTCTCTATCATAGGGTTCCTATCGCCATATTTACTTGATATGCAAATACCAGGTAATCGTATCTGGGCAGAGAAAGCTTGATTTTGGCATACTGCAAAGGAAAAACTACCTCACACTGATAAGCCGATGATACTTACTCCTCCTTCAGGATGGACTGAATGCACTTGCGCTGGTAGGCACTGAGAGTGATGGTGGGTTTCTGAGGACTCAGTACTTTTTCCATCTTTCGCTGTTGATAGTCTTTTTTCATAGTAACCTTAAGTATCAAACAGAACATAGATATTGGCTATAGTTTGCTACACATTTTCATAGTATCTATTTTAGTCTGTTCTTTCTACATTTCATAAAATTATAGAACAAACGCTTTAAGAAAACTAGTATGAAATTTAGCCAGCTTGCATCCATTCCTACCTGTTTGATGGCGTTGCCCAAATGTCGAAGTTGATCAGGTATCAGCTGTAATTCTCTCTTCATGGCTCTCTCACTGTCAGAGAGAACTGGGAGCTGAGAGTGAAAACTGTGAAGTACTTTTTTCATCCTTTAGAAAAGGTAAGCAAACACCTCAGCTTACGAGCTCTGCTACCGAGGAGAAACACAATCGTAACTAAAGCTCCTAATCTGTGAATCTGGTGTCTGTGAAGGAGGCCGCCACAGGATGGGTCAGGGAAAGCATCACTACGCTGTCTTCCCTAACACGCCTCAGGAGAGGCAGGGGAATCAATTCAATTCTGTAGGCATGGTACTACTTGCTACAGGCCCATTTTCCTTAGTAACACTTACTACCTGAGTAGGGAGCTGAATGTTATACAACTCACGGACCTGTTCATGATATCTTCTTGTTTTTCCTTGGCTTCCTCATATTTGTCAGCTAAGCGCTCAGCCATTTCCCGTAGACTTTTCCTAATGGCATAAAAAACAAAAGACTCTTGGGGTCCACCTTGATGGTAAACTAAACTAATGAGGTTCAGCATCTTAGGGTGAGATACATCGTAAGAGTTCAGTCTTACTGAACTATTGTTGTCTTCCTCCCTAGTTTTGGTACTTACCTCTCCTCTCGACAATAGTTGAGATCTTCTAGCTGTTTCTTTTTTTGGTCACATAATAATCTGACCCTTCAGGAGCAAAAAGAAATGAAATTTAATCAGAAATTTAATCTAGGCCATTATACAGTATCAGCTACCCACCAGGGACTGATGGTATGTGAAAAAGATCATCCTACCTCCGCTGAATCTCCTCCTTTGCCAGGTCCTGTTTAAGGATGTACTGTTCTCTGAACACCTGGGTGGCTCTGCTGATGAGCTGAAGACATTCTTCAGGAGGAGGGGCCGTATCTTTCTCAGATGATCTTTAAAAAAACGTTTCTACCATTACTTGCCTTAGCTGAGTAAAACAACTGAAAATAGACTCAAGTCATAGCTGCTTTTTTCCCTTCTTCGTACACTTCCTGTTTATCATTCTCAAGTGCTTCTATCTATATCTACCTCTTCTCTCCCTCTATTCACTAACTGGTTAAATATGCCCTAAGTTTCCTCCAACTCCAACATAGTAAAACATATATGAAATGAAATAGCTGAAGACAGAAAAGATGAATGCTAATTATGAAAACAGAGAAGGGAACCAGTTCTTAAAACCTATACCCCCCAAATCCCATACTTCACAAATGCTGGATTTGCAACACTGCGCTGCAAAATGCTTCTAATATGCTTTTCAAAGGAATCCGGGGTTTCAGCCAGAATACGGAGGGGAGACTCTGCCACTTCAACATCTTCTCGGGTACAAAGCAGAGGAGGAGATGCTGGATGGACTGTGCTTCTGCAAAATAAATAAATACAGTACACCACGGAGTTATTTACTGTAAGTATTATAGGAAAGCATACGCGACATTTATGCAGAACTTTGAGAATATAAGAAACTATAAAGTGTTACTTGTATAAAAGTATAAGAAGACGTTTTCTGCCTTGCAGAGGTCACCTTGGGAAGCTATCCTCTTATTCTACCAATGCTGCCGTTTGTCAAAGCATTTTGGACTCTGCCACTTCAAATTCTTTTTGAATAGATTGAGGCACCACAACAATACAAATTCATTCTGGACTCTATTTTAGAAAGGACTTGAGAGCCAATTATAAGTCAGAGTGACAAACATAAATAAATCACTAATTTCCTAGGTATAATTTGATCAAAACTAATATTCAGCCAGATAACCACTGTATATACCATATCTGCTCTATATGACTTGATTTCTAAAAATTGGATCCACTCAAATATTACAAATATTCACAATGGCAATTTTAGAAAGCTCAAAAGATTGCAAACTTTAACAGCATGGAGACTTATTTTGAATGCAAGAATTCAAATCTGTGAGTTTGTTAATTACATTATAGACAACTTGCATTTCAGGGAGTTGGCAGAAAGATATGATTTGAAGGTATCTAGATAACTAAAATTTAAGAGTTTTTTTTCCTTTGGGATTCATGTTTTTATTGTGAAGTAACCTAGCATGACTAGGTCTTATTTACTAAAAGTAGGATGGGTTTTTAAAAAATATGCTGAGGCAACAGGCAAAAAGGCAACTTTTCTTCAGTGATTTTATTACTTCTGTTTAGTCTTGCTAGAGTTTTTAGTCTCTTTTAGTATAAATAACACAAAAATTGATAATGTATTACTTTCCTTTCCAAATGGTATAACTTGTCAATCTTGAAAGAGAATGGAAATTCTTCTAAGGAGAGTAAGTTAATGGCAATATTTAGACCTATGTCAGTGTCTTGAAGCACATGCTGGCAACTGACACCCAGAAACTGGGGGAGTGTGCTGTTCAACACTCAGGTGGCTCATTAGGGACTCCTATTCCTGCATCTATAAAACTCAGAATGACCTTCCAGGAGTGTTGAAAAAGAAAAATGGTGCTTATAGCTTAATATGAGTTCCTGAAGGGGAACGAGGATTATGAGTTCAGCTATATACCACCTTTCTTCCAGAGTTTATTATATAGTCTGTGCTGTCCCTCTGAGGCTGGCAGAGATAGAAATGAAGAGGGTGAGTATGGACTCTGGAGTCAAGAGGGCCCTGTGTCTGCAGCCCAGCTCGATGTGTCACCTGTGACTTCAGCATTTACTTAGCCTCTCTAGCCCTGTTTCCTCTTCTACAAAATGGGGAGAACAGTGCTGTCCTCATGGAGTTGCTCTGATTACAGGAGGCAATGCAGGTAAAGGGCTTACTTCTGAGCCTGGCACATAGTTAGAGCTTGATAATCATTAAATCTAATTCACATTAATAATGGAGTTCGTTATTTTACTATTCTTTTCTACTTTGAAGTAAAGCTCTCGACTCTCAGCTAGCTGAAGGAGATGCCAGAAATCATGCCTAAAATAAATCCTTCCAGAGACGGCAGGAACAACAGAAATATCTACCCTTCCAACCCTCAAGTCAGAAGCCAAAGCATAAACCATGTATTTTCAAGCCGGTTACCAAGGGCATTTTCCCAGCTTAGATTTTGCAGAATTAACAAGAGCTGTGTGGAGAATACAAAATGGGACATACAATAAAGGCCTTAGGAGGCATTCGTAGGTACTGGTGATGCAGATCATTGTGGGCCCCAGGATGTCAGGGACGATCCAGAATCCTCGAATCGGAGCTGGCTGCCTGGAAAAACACAGCCACAGTTAAATTACAAAGCAGCAAATGCAATGGAGCCAAACGAAAAGACACAGCTGAGGTTCGTGGCCTTCTCAGGCCTGGACTAGCTAGTTGCCCGGGACATGCTCTCAGCACAGTAACCTCAAAGGTGGGGACTTGTGAACCTATACTACTTACAGCTCTGATCAGTTTGACACAAGCTGTCACTTCACAGTCTGGAGGCCATTTGGCTTTTAAGTCACTCAGGAACCCATAGCCTCATGGTGCTCACTGTAATCTCAGCAGTTACCATGACACAATGAAGTTAATTCTTTACCTGTCTTTCTCCCAACTCGCACGTCAGCCCCAGCTATCTCTGTATACCAGCCCAGTGCCAACTCAGACTAAGTGCTCAGAAACTACTGACTGAACACAACTTAAGAGTCTATTGCATATGAAGAATTCCATGCAGCCCAACGTCTATGTCACAGGACGGAGCTGACTGTGCAGAGCATGCATCTCCCTCTCAATCAGTTCTTGCTTCATCGAGGAAACTGAAAACTGGGGACCTCAGACAGGAACTGTCTTTCTTGCCAGTGTGCACTCTACCTGCCCCACAGCACATCTCCATCCCTGGACTGTTGATGCCGTCTCCTCTGCCCTCCTCTGACTGTCCTCAGAAGAGTGACACTGCTCCATCGACTCTAGTTTCAAAATCTCCCTACTGTCTGTTTACCCCCAGCTCATAAACAAGCGCACAGCTCTTCTCCCTGAAGCACTCTGCATTTCAAGCTCCCCTCATCCTATTCTTTCTCTCCTTTGTTTAGAACCAGCAGTCTTGAAACAGCAGCCTTCTCCTAATCTCTCATTCACCCTTTTTTTTTTGGGGGGGGGGGCAGGGAGGGTGGTGGTGAGGGGGAATTTGGGAGATTAAAGGTTTTTATTTTATATTGTTAGTGTGAAACCTACATATGGAAGAGTGCCTGTATGCACCCTGTAACCACCATCCAGGCCAAGAATTACAACGCTGCAGTTACCTAAGACCTCCCATGTGAAGCCCCCTTCTCGTGACCTTCCACTCTCCAGGGGAGTGATCACTATTCTGACTTCTATGATACTCATGTCCTTGCTCTGTGTCATAGTTTTCCCATCTATATACTCATTCCTAAGCAAGATTGTTTAATTTTACCTGTTTTTGAAATATATATAAATGGGATTTTATTATCTATTTTCCCATTCACTTTTCAACCTGGTACAGTTTGCTATCCTCCTCCATCCCCAAAAGTGTTTTCCCTATGGTCCTCAATGAACTCCCCTGTATTGCCAAATCTAGACTCTCTACCACTTCCCTGTGCTTATTTGATGCTGCTGCCCACTGCCTGCTCTCAAACATCCTCCTCCTTGGTATCCCTGACCTCCTTTCCTCCAGGTTCTCCTTCAGTCTCTCTGACAGCCCTTTACTCACATTTCCTTCCTGGACTGGGCTCCTCTTCCTTTACTCGCTGCTTGTAAGAAAATGTTGCTCAAGACTCTTCTCAGGTCTCCTCTACCCATTCTAGGCCCTTTCCTGGCTGACCCTCACAAGACTCAGGGCTCCAACCCTGACAACTCCCACATGCACCCCGTCCTAGCCCAACCACTCCAAACTCCACACCTACCTGTCCAACTGCACACTGGGCTCTTCCACTTGGATGTCCTATAGGAACAGAAAACTCCAAGTGCCCCCTTTAACACATCTTCTGTCTCCCCAAATCCACTCTTTCTCCTATGTGCCCATTTTTCTGAAGGGCACCACATCGTCTCAGTTATCCCAGGTAGAAACCTGGGAGTCATGCTAGATACTCCCTTTATTCTACTCATCACATATCTACTGAATATCTACTAGGCACTCCGTCAGACACTGAGTATACAGACAGGAGGTGACAGTATACAGTATGAAACAAACACACATGGTCTCTGGCCTCATGAAACTATATTCTTGTAGTAGTGACAGACATTAAACACAAACATCAATTGTAATATGTGCTGCAAAGAAAATAATAGGAGAACTCTAAGTTAGACTAGGGAATCAAGGAAAGCCTCTCTGAAGAATTGACGTTAAGTTAAGATCAGAAAGAACAAGAGTTAGCCAAGTGAAGGCAGCAAACAGGGGTTGAAACTAGGGAAATACCTTCCAGACAGAGGACACAATATGTGGAGTAGCCTTGAAGCAAGGGAGAACTTCTGATGAACATCTGATGAACTGACACTCTTAGGGGTGAAGTATCTCATCTTCATGTGAGTATATGGATATACGTGTATGAGAAGTACTGAAACGAACAACTGTTATCTGTGTACACAAGGGAGAGAAGGTCCTTACCTGCATGGCAATGGCTTTGTACAAAGGATGTGTTCTACAAAGCATTTCTGTTCGGTAGCAAGTTCCTGTAAACTATCCTTATCTTCTTCATCTACAAAGGAACACATCACATAAGTTAATTGACACTTACACAAAAGTCTCTGAATTAAAATGCTGACAATATTAGTTAAATGCAATTAAGTTCTTGTCTCAGACCACTGCTTCTTATGGAGCAGGCCTGCCTTTTTTTTTTTTTTTTTTTTTGAGGAAGATCAGCCCTGAGCTAACATCCATGCCAATCCTCCTCTTTTTGCTGAGGAAGACTGGCCCTGGGCTAACATCTGTGCCCATCTTCCTCTACTTTATATGGGACGCCACCACAGCATGGCCTGACAAGCGGTGCCTCGGTGCGCACCAGGGATCCAAATGTGGGCTGCCAACAGCGGAGTGCACGCACTTAACTGCTGCACCACAGGGTCAGCCCCAGGAGCAAGCCTTTCTAACATAGAAATCTCCTTTCCACAGGGGTCTAGATTTCTGCCCCAAGAAGGAAAGTAGATTTTCCTTGGTCAAATTTCTAAATGCAGAAATGTTTCACTGAGGACAACAATCCCAGAAATCATTCCCTCCAACAGTCTCTTCCTCACCCACACCAATTTTATTTTTAGAACGGTTTTTTGAAATGTAATTCACAATATCACACAACTCACCCACTTAAAGCGTACAATTCAGTGGGTTTTTAGTATATTCAAAGAATTGTACAACTATCACCACAAAAAATTTAGAACATTTTCATTACCCAAAAACAAACCCCCATACCAGTTAGCAATCACTCGCTAGTTTCTGCCAATTGCCCCAGATCTAGGCAACAACCACTAATCTCCTTTCTGTCTCTGTGGACCTGCCTGTTCTGGACCTTTTATATAAATGGAATCATACAACGTGTAGTTGTTTGCAACTGGCTTTTTTCACTTAGCATAACGTTTTCAAGATTCATCCATCTTGTATCACATATCAGTACTTCATTCCTTTCTGTTGTTGAATAATAGTCCCTTGTATGGATATACCACATTTTATTTATCTAAGCATCAGTTGATGGACATGGGGCTATTTAGCTATTATGATTAATGCTGCTATGAACATTCATTTACAACTTTTTGTGTCAACATGTTTTCATTTTTCTTTGGTATATACTCAGCAGTGGCACAGCTGATTGGTAACTCTATGTTAATCATTTGAGGAACTGCCAGGCCAGACCATTTTCCCAAAGTGGCTACACTATTTTACATTTCCATAAGTACTATATGGGGGGGGTGTCCCCATTTTTCCACATCCTTGTCAACACTTGTTATTGTCTGTCTTTCTTGATTTTAGCCATTTTAGTGGGAATGAAGTGGTATCTCACGGTTTTGTGGTATCTCATTTCCATGACTAATGATACTGAAAATTGTTTTCATGTGCTTATCAGCTATTTGTATATATCATCAATGGAACAATGTTTATTCAAATCCTTTGTCTATTTTTGAGCTATTTATCCTTTTATTATTGAGTTCTAAGAGTTCTTTATATATTCTAGATACAAGTCCATTATCAGATAGATGATTTGTAAATATTTACTCCCATTCTGCGGCTTGTCTTTTCACTTTTGTGACAGTGTTTTCTTCTAAGAGTTCTATAGTTTTACTTCTTATATCTAGGTCCTTGATCTATTTTGAGTTCATTTTTGTGTATGATATGAAGTAGGGATCCAATTTCATTTTTTTGCATGTGGATGTACACCTGTCCCAGCACCATTTGTTGAAAAGACTATTCTTTCCCCCAATGAATTGTTTTGCACCCTTGTTGAAACCAATTGACTGTAAATGTAAAGGTATATTTCTGGACTCTCAATTCTATTCCATTGACCTATATGTATATCCTTATGCCAATATCACACTGTCTTGGTTACCATACCTCTGTAATAAGTTTTGAAATTGAGAAGTGTGGGTCCTCCAACCTTGTTCTTGTTTCTCAAGATTGTTTTGGCTATTCTAGGTCACTTGCAACTCCATATGAATTTTAGGATCAGCTTGTCAATTTCTGCAAAGAAGCCAGTTAGAATTTTGATAGGGATTGCATTGGATCTGTACATCAATTTGGGGAGGATTGCCATTTAACAATATTAAGTTTTCTGATCCATGTACATGGGATCTTTTTTCATTTATTTAGGCCTCTTCTTTTTATTTCTTTCAAGAATGTTTTGTAGTTTTAAGAGTATGTTTTGCACTTCTTTTGTTAAATTCATTTCTAAGTATTTTATTTGTTTTGATGCTATTGTAAATGGAATTGTTTTCTTAATTTCCTCTTGGATAGTTCATTGCTAGTGCATAGAAACAGAACTGATATTTCTATATTGATCTTCTATCCTACCACCTCTCTGAACTCATTTATTAAATAGTTTTTTAGTGGTTCCCCTATGATTTACTATATAAAAGATCACATCATCAGAGTATAGAGATAGTTTCACTTCTTCCTTTCCAATCTGGATGCCCTTTATTTCATTTTATTGGCTAATTTCCCTGTCTAGAACGTTCATTACAATGCTGATTAGAAGTGGCAAGAGCAGACATCCCTTTGTTCCTGATCTTAAGGGGAAAGTGTGGAAGGCGGAATTTGTAAACAATTAAATTGGACATTTAGCTGAGGAGACTTCCAAGCAAAACATTAAAGACATGGCCTGATTTCTTCTTGCTAATTATAGTAAAATATAAGGAAAAATATAATTGAGGGAAGAACGGTTAAACAAAAAGAAAAAAAATCTTGATGATTTGGGAAATTCTCAGCCTATCTGGATGGCAAAAGATGCTAAAATTAAGAGATTCACTATGAGGAAAGCATGTTTTAGAGAAAAAGCCACTGGTGTGGCTGCTCAGTCTTTTGCTAATACCTCAGAAAGATCAAAAGGTCAGAATATTCAGTCACACAAAAGGCTCTCTGAAGATATTAAGAGTGTGACTTAGATCCTTCAGCCATCTCAGCAGAAGCCAAAAACAGAGATGGGATTATCTAGGAAAGATTTGTGGATGAACCTCTTATCTACTAGAGTGAGTCCTCATGATATACACAGGAGACCCAAAAAGTTCTCCAGACTTTTATGCCCACAGAAACACCACTGGCTTGGCCTGAAATGGTCAGAAAGAGGATGAGAGAAGGCTGTTCCACTTCCAAAATTCTACAGGCAGGAAACAGGCTAATAAAACTACTCAACTACAAAAACACTACCTTTCCTATAAAATAGATTACTCAGAGGGCAGAGCTGCAAGCCCAGATTATCCCCAGGCTTTGAAACCTAATAGAATTTGGATTTTGAAATTGCTTGGGACCTGTAGTTCCTTTTCTCCTTTTCCTTTTCTGCCCTTTGAACTGGAAAGTCTATAACTGATACCTATGCCTGTCCCCTCATTGTGTTCTGGGAGCAGATAACTTGTTTTCTAGTTTCATAGATCCACAGAGAGAGAGGAATTTTGCCCCAAAGTAGATTATAATCAGAGTCTTACCCATATTTGATTTAGATGATTTAGACCACGAGATTGGGGACTTCTGAGCTCATGAGATTTAGATGAGATTTTTGAACTCTGTGTTGCTATAATGATGCTAGGGTCAATGTATTTTGCATGTGGGTCAGATGTGAATCTTTGGGGACCATGAGGTAGAATGTAGTAGGCAGAATAATGGACTCCCCAAAGATATCTGTGTTCTAATTCCCAGAACCTGTGACTATCTTAGGTTACATGGCAAAGGGAAATAAAGGTTGGAGATGGGATTAAATTTGCCCATCATCTGTCTCTGAGACAGGGAGGTTACCTTGGATTATCTGGGTATGCCCTTAAAAGTACAAGAATGAAGCAAAACAAAGGTCAGGGGCTGGACTGCTAGCAAAGCGGTTAAGTGCACGCACTCCGCTACGGTGGCCTGCGGGTTTGCAGGTTCGGATCCCGGGCATGGACTGATGCATCGCTTGCGAAGCCATGCTGTGGCAGCGTCCTATATAAAGTAGAGGAAGATGGGCACGGATGTTAGCCCAGGGCCAACTTCCTCAGCAAAAAAAGGAGGATTAGCAATGCATGTTAGCTCAGGGCTAGTCTTCCTCCCCCCAAAAAAAGAAAAGAGGTCAGAGTCATACAAGGTGAGAAGGACTCAACTCGTCCAACCACTGCTGGCTCTGGAGATGGAGGAAGGGCGCTATAAGCAAAGGCAGGCAGTAGAAGCTGCGAAAAGCTAGGAAATGGATTCTTCCCTAGAGCCTCCAGAAAGAACACTGCTCTGCCCAGTGAGTTCATTCTAGGATTTCCAACCTATAGAACTGTAAGATAATAAATTTGTGTTGTTTTAAGCCACTAAGTTGGTGGTGATTTATTACAACAGCAATAGAAAGCTAATACAGAAAGCACTTGGTCATTCACCATTAAGTATGGTGTTAGCTGTGGGTTTTTCATAGATGCCTTTCATCAGTTTGAGGAATTTCTTGTCTCTTACTAGTTTGTTGAGGTTTTTTGTTTTTTTCCCCCCAAAGTCCCAGTGCATAGTTGTGTATCCTAGTTGTACATCTTTCTAATTCTTCTACACAGGACGGCGCCTCAGCATAGCTTGATAAGTGGTGCGTAGGTCTGCACCCAGGATCCGAACCCGTGAACCCCGGGCTGCCAAAGCAGAGTCCATGCCCTTAACCAATACACCACCAGGCCGGCCCGTGGTTGAGTTTTTTTTAACATGAAAGGCTGTTGGATTTTCTTAAATGCTTTTTCTGTGTCTACTGAGATGATCACATGGTTTTTGTCCTTTATTCTACTGACATGGTGTAATACATTAATTAATTTCTGGATATTTAAATTAACCTTGTATCCCTGGGATAAATCCCACTTGGTCATGGTGTTTTTATATGTTGCTGGGTTTGGTTTGCTAGTATTCCGTTGAGGATATTTTGCATCTCTATTCATAAGAGATATCTGTCTGTAGTTTTCTTGGACATCTCTGTCTGGTTGTGGTATCAGGGTAATAGTGACCTCACAGAGTGAGTTGGGAAGTGTTTCTTCTTCTATTTCTTGGAAGAGCTTGTGAAGAATTGGTATTAATTCTTTAAATATGAAGCCACCTTGTTCTGAGCTTTTCTTTTTGGGTAGTTTTTTTTTGTGAGGAGACCAGCCCGGTGCTAACATCTGCCAATCCTCCTCTTTTTTTGGCTGAGGAAGACTGGCCCTGGGCTAACATCCATGGCCATCTTCCTTCACTTTATATGGGACGCCGCCACAGCATGGCTTGCCAAGTGGTGTGTCAGTGCGTGCCCAGCATCTGAACCGGCGAACCCCGGGCCGCCACAGCAGAGCGTGCGCACTTAACCACTTGCGCCACCTGGCCAGCCCTTGGGTAGTTTTTTTGATTACTAATTCAGTCTCTTTACTTGTTATAGGTCTATTCAAATTTTCTATTTCTTCTTGAGTCAGTTTCAGTAGTTTGTGTCTTTCTAAGAATTTGTCCATTTCATCTAGATTATCTAATTGGCATACAGGTGTTCATGGTATTCTCTTGTAATCTTTTATATTTCTGTGAGGTCGGCAGTAATATCCCTTCTTTCATTCTAACTGTAGTAATTTGAGTCTTCTCTCTTTTATTCCTTGGTCAGTCTAGCTAAAGGTTTGTCAATTTTGTTGATCTTTTCGAAGAACCAACTTTTGGTTTCATTGATTTTCTCTATTATTTTTCTATTTCAAACTACTTTTTGATAAAACCTGTGAAGCACTGAAGAGCACAGAAAACTCACCTGATCCAAGAAATTTGTGAAGTTTATGAATCCAAGTTAGCCCAACACTATGTACACCAGCTTCATGAGTACAGTGATATCTTGAGGGACACTTGGGATCTGCAAATGGAATCATTAATGATATAAACGTAGCCATTAGAAAACTGAAAGAATCCACCCCAGTAGCCCACAAATATATTTGTTGATGGAAAGTCTATAGGACCTTCATACTGTGGCACTATGTCAGGGGTTTTAAAATTTTAAAATCTAAATTCAATTTTCAAATATATTTTAAATAATTTTTGTGTGTGTGTGTGAGGAGGACTAGCCCTGAGCTAACATCTGATGCCAATCCTCCCCTTTTTTTTTCTTGAGGAAGATTGGCCCTGAACTAACATCCATGGCCATCTTCCTCTACTTTATATGGGATGCCGCCACAGCATGGCTTAAGAAGCAGTGCGTCGGTGTGCACCCAGGATCCGAACCTGCAAACCCCGGGCCGCCACAGCGGAGTGCACGCACTTAACCGTTTGCGCCACTGGGCCGGCCCCTATTTTAAATAATTTTAAAAGTATAATTAATAAACACAATCCAAATATGTTATTTTCTAGATATTAACACAACAGAGTTCACCAAAACATAAACACTTGCTGTCAAGTAACTCATTTATGCCTTTCTGTCCACCTCTGTGCATTTATTTACAGTTCTTCAAAATAAAATGGTGATTAAGAAAGCTTATAGCTCTGTAGAAAACCTATGCTTGCACACATCTACTTCCATGGAATTGTTGAGGCAAGTGCACTCCTACAGCACAGGTACTAAAAGACTTCAGTACAACAGCTTAGTGAATAGCTCTGTCAGAGTACAGTAAGTCAGGTGTGAAATGTGAAGTTTTACTTGTCTTAATGTTGACTTACAGATAGTTTAAGTTTTGGATACAGTTTTTATTTGACAGTGATTTATAGTTATACTAAGAAATATGAGCAGTTGTTACCTAATTTTAATGAAAATTTCTATATTTCCTTTGAGCCCTACTATCAGTAAGACTATCCTGACATTAAAAGGTGAGATCTTGAATATCTATTATTATTTATAAATATTTATCTCTGTGACTCAGGATTTTTAAATCATTAAACAATTAAAACAAGATACAGGGCCGGCCTGTGGCTTAGTGGTTAAGTGCGCGGGCTCTGCTGTTGGCGGCCCAGGTTCGGATCCCGGGCGTGCACTGACGCACCGCTTCTCCGGCCAGGCTGAGGCCGTGTCCCACATACAGCAACTAGAAGGATGTGCAACTATGACATACAACTATCTACTGGGGCTTTGGGGGAAAAAAAAGGAGGATTGGCAATAGATGTTAGCTCAGAGCCGGTCTTTCTCAGCAAAAATAAGAGGATTAGCATGGATGTTAGCTCAGGGCTGATCTTCCTCACAAAAATAAAAGATAAAATAAAATAAAATAAAACAAGATACAGAAATAATGTATATACTAAAGCTGATTTAAGATGGCAATTGTCATCCTAAATTAAATGTTTCTTTGATCTAACAGCCTCACTTTCTTACTATTAACTTTATAGTAAGAAAATGCTATAAAGTGGATGTTACATTATTTTTATCTTTTTATATGTTGGGGTTCTGCATAACACCTCTGAAAACAGCATTATGCTATAAAAACTCCTGGTCTTCAATTTCATCTCTTCAATTCAGAAAATACTGAAAAGCTTCTCTTATTTGGCCACACTTGAGACTTAATTTAAGTCTGAAATCATCTCCTTGGTCTACCATAGTTTAACATAGTTTAACATGGCTTTTCAAGATGTTTCTGGTGCTGAAGTCAACAGAAAAATCTTAATGCTGGGATGTAACAGAAGTCTGTTATGAAAAAGAAGTAACATTCGTAACAGAAGTAGGAAATTTGGTAGACTCCCCTCACATGTTATATGGTAGCCATTTCACTTATATCATCAAAAATCTGGGTATGTTTCAGTGATTGTAATGTGCCTTAAGTACAAATATGAATGAGTCAACAATTTATTAGTTTCACATATGAAAATGTTAACTCTCATTATAAGAACCAAGATAAAAACGTCTACATTTAAGATTTCCCAAAAAATATATGTATCTTTATAAGGAAACCAATTAGTTTACCTCACTAGGTCTCAATTCCCTCATCTATAAAGCAAAGTTCTGAGACTTAATATTTAGACTGTACCTCTCCAAACACTGTTCAATTAGACATGCCCAATGAGTTCTCTTTGCTGGTTTATTATATAAGGACCACTATCCCCTTAAATGTTTTGGGTATACTTTAGTACAGAGTGGAAGCCATTATCATCAAACCTACGCAAACTGGCTAATAGCACTGTAATAGGACTGGACAGAGAAAAACTATGAAAGGTATACCCAGTTATTTCAGAC